GATCCACATGATCTATGCCTCCTCTGCCTCGGCGAGGGGCATAGGACCGACAAATGCGCTCATTGCTTGGCGTTTACCAAGCAGGCGCGAAAAAACAGGGAGAATTGTCTCAGGAAGCTCCTATGGGATCAGGCATTAATGCAGTCTGACCAACTGCTCCTACGGCCTGGTTCCTCTTCGTCCACGCCTCCTCAGCGCTCTTCCTCCACCATGAGTGCTCCGGCGAAGCGTCCTTCCTCGACCTCTGCCGCTCTTCCGCAGCATCCTTCGGACGAAGGCGCTGCTTCTATGGAGGCTCAGTCACTGCCTTCTCCCCCGGCTAAGAAATGGGAGAAGCACAAGCATACCGGTCTGGATAAACCTTCCACCCATAAGAAGTTGAGGAAGGAGAAGGTGGATAAGCCCGCTCGCAAGAGCAAGAAACCTGATTGCCCAAAACACCAGGGCTCAGGTTCATCGGGCTTTTCGGTACCAACGGCCGCCATGGTACCGACCCCCTTGGGACTGGCCCTGCAACTCGTTATGCAGGTGACTCCACCGGGATCCCCCAGGCCAACCACTCGGCCTGAGAGCGTGCCTCCCCAGCAACAGGAGGAGCCGCTTCGGGAGTCCATCTCTGATGGTGAGATCAGAGACTCCCTGCCGAGGGACCACTTGCCAACACCTATGCCACCAACTGAACCTCATGTGGCCTCACCATTACCTCCCAGATATCACAGCCTTTCATCCGAACATCGAGATGAGAGTTGGTTGATCCCGGGATATGGTGCTCCCTCCGGCTGGGGTGGTTACCAACCATATCCCTATTTTCCTCGGGATCATAGATCACCATCAGTCCCGAGGGACGTACCATCCACCTCCAGGTGTATGGAGACAAGGCGCCCAACCTCCCCTGAAACCTCCTCCTCCTCAAGCGAAAACCGGCCACGTTACGTGGAAGACTCCGAGGATTCAGAGGTCAACTCCACATCCCCTGATGTGGCTGTCGCATACCAAGGGCCTGCTTCACCCGACGAACTGCATGTCTCTTTCACAGAGCTCATGTCCTGCTTAGTTCGTTCGCTTGAAATTGAAGCTCATCAACAGCCAGGCCCCTCCACAGATCGGTTTTATGATGTCGTTCGGGGAGAGCAGTCCGCATCCATAGCTCTGCCACTTATAACTACACTCTGCCAGGCTGTGGTCCAGCCCTGGGCCCAACCGGCCCAACCACAAGCTATCTCCCGCAGATATGAGGCCATGTATAGAGTTCGTGACGATGACATTCCCTTCCTGCTCCGTCACCCGAAACCGAACTCTCTTGTGGTTGAATCCTCCCAGGGCAGGGAGTCCAGGGGACATACCGCTCCTCAGGACAAGGAAGGGAGGAAAATCGATATGCTTTTCTGCCGAGTCTATGCGGCCTCTGGACTTGGCGTGAGCATATCGAACTACGCATATCGAACTACGAAGTGACACTGGCACGTTACCAGTACTTTATCATGCAGAAGCTGGATAACGTTGCTTCCTCCCTTCCAGACCACCAAGCGGACCTTGCCAGGGTTTTCATTAAGGAGGCGATGCAGGTGGCGGTGCAACAGTTGCCTACCGCTCGTCATCATGTAGACACCGATTCAAGGGCCCTCGTCAATGCCATCTCGTTACGCCGACATGCGTGGCTGCGCAATTGTAATTTCCCCAATGAGATGAAGCACAGAATCGAGGAAATGCCATTTGACGGCACCGGTCTGTTCCACCAGAAGACTGACCGCAAATTAAAGGCGATTCACGAATCACGCCTAACTGCACGCCACATGGAGCTCCCGCAAAAACGTCAGTGGCAGTGGCCTTGATCTTCCTACCGGAACCAACCATACTATCCGCACCAGCAAAACTACCCTCGCCAGCAATATCAACAACAGCAGCATCGGAGAGAGCAAACACAACAGTGTTTTTCCCAAGGCCGTCGGCGATTCGATACCGATAAACACCCACGTTGATGGCTTGGGCGAACCATCCTCTCTTTCCCAACACCACCTTCCCTCCTCCCTTTTGGGAACCGGCTCCAGGGCCGACTCCCCATTTGGGAGTCCATTACATCTGATAGGTGGGTGTTATCTATCATCCAGTTCGGATACAGGATAGAATTCGATGTTATCCCTCCTTCGAGCCCAATCCGCTTCACACCTTCTTCATTGGTGCTACGCGATGAGGTCTCCCAGCTACTTCTCAAGGGAGCAATTCAACAATTGTCCTGCTCGGAAGGATTGCATGGATTCTATTCCAGATATTTTACGGTCCTGAAAAGGGACGGTGGTCTTCGTCTGATCCTGGACTTACGAACGCTTAATAAGTACATTAAACCAAGGACGTTCCGGATGACCACTTTGCAAAATATCCTTCCGTTATTGAAAAGAGAGGATTGGTTCACCTCACTGGATTTAAAGGATGCTTATTTTCATATTTCCATCCATCCTTCACACAGACGCTTTCTACATTTTACTGTCGGATCCGACCTGTTCGAGTTTAACGTTCTACCTTTTGGCTTGGCCACAGCCACTCGAGTCTTTACGAAGTGTATGGCGCCGGTATGCGCACACTTGAGGACATGGGGAATACAGATATACCCATACTTAGACGACTGGCTAATCGTCTCGCAATCCGAGCAAGCTCTCCTGTCTGATATACAAATGACCTGCGCTCTACTCGATGCTCTCAGTCTCTGCATTAACCATGACAAATCGTCCCTTATTCCCACGCAGGTCATCGATTTCATCGGGGCACGACTCGACTCAACACAGGAAAAAGCCTTCCTCCCACCGGAACGTCAGAATGCCTTATGTAGCCATATTCATTGGATTCGGCTACACGGAACGGTCCCAGCCTTATCCGTTCAGAGACTACTAGGGCATATGGCTGCTGCAATTGCCATTGTCCCGTATGCCAGACTACATATGCGACCCATACAACTGTTTTTCAACGCTGCTTTTCAACCGCAACAAGATCCTGCCACCAAGCCGATTCGGATTCCATCTGCAATCCTTCACATTTTAACATGGTGGACCATCACAGACAACCTGTCGATCGGCGCCCCGTTTCGACCACCTTGGCCAACAACAACTCTGTACACCGACGCATCCCTCCTTGGATGGAGTGTGGCATGTTCGGGACTTCGGGTCCAAGTTACTTGGAACCGACGAGAGGCGAGGAAACATATCAACTTTCTGGAACTTCTGGCGATTTTCAACGCCCTCAAGGCTTTCAAGACTGTGTTATGCCGTCAAGTTGTCCAAATTGCATCAGACAACATAGCGGCAGTTTTCTACATCAACAAGCAGGGGGGCACAAAATCCCCAGCCTTAGCACGCCTATTGATGGACATTTGGGACTGGTGCATACCGAGGAACATCGTGCTTATGGCAGTTCATCTGGCTGGAACCGACAACGTCGAAGCAAATACATTAAGCAGACAGATGTCAACAATCCACAAATGGGAGTTGGACAAACAAATTTGCGAGAAACTCTTCCGCTTGTGGGGTTATCCAGACATGGACCTGTTCACCACCCGAGAGAACAGCCTATGTGCCCTATACCGTTCCAGAGCGGGCGTCGGGCCGAGATCGATGGGGAACGTTCTTATGGTCCCTTGGAGCAACACGACTTTTTATGCGTTTCCCCTGATCCCACTCCTGACAAGATCCCACTCTTGTGCCTCCAATCTAGTTGTGAGAAGACGAAGATGAGAGGAAAGATGGTGCAGCAATTTCTGCATTTCCACGGGGTTTTAACCCTTGCCTCTCCTTTCCACAGGCCTCCTGCCAAGGGAGCTCTGTGAATGTTGTGTTGCATGGCCTCTCATTCCATTCCCTTTATGTACTGTGGTCAACTACTGTGCTTGTGAGCAGTGCATGGAATAAGGGAAATCAAGCTCCTACTTGGAGGGACATCTTGGCTGGACTGTTGCTGCTTTACCACAGATGGCTTACAATAAATGAGTAGAATAAAACAAACCCCACAGCATCCGACCATTAATATACTAAAACCCCAGTTATAATCAATTAAACATTAACATAGCGGGAAAATGGGTTTTGCCTGACGGCGAAACGAATATAACTTTATACATGAATATATTGTGTGTCTCTCTCTCCAACTCTGCATGGCAGAAAGGCAATGCCACCACAACTGCCTGTGTTGGGCGGGCACTGGAAGTGTTGCCATGGATACTGGGTAGGTGTCTGTTATTGCTGCATTGTTTGGTTTTCAGACAAATGGTTTTGCCTTACAGTTCTAGACTGACAGTGTACAAGACATGGTGGTCATCACACTAGCATATCACAGAATCATAGAATAGCAGGGTTGGGAGGGTTGGGAGAAGCCAAGAAGGCCATCGGGTCCAACCCCCTGCTTTAACTCCAAGTTAAACCATATCTCAGATGTGATCCGTGTATAGAATTGCATTGTTAGCTAACAATTTTGCATCATAGTGCATGCAAAACAGCATGAAAGCAATTTTATAAAGGTAAATAGCATCTTCTGGAATCCTCTGCTGAGGATGCATACCTAAACTGAACTATCTGACCTTGGAAAACATATTCCCTACACTTCTTCATAATTCTGTATACAACACGAGATAAAAAGCATAACTCTATCCATAAAATCATTACCTTGGAGAGTAGCTTGTCAAACAAACTATCCATTATGGCTACAAGCTTTGCCGAAATTTCAGCTATGTGGTCATGATAATCCTGGAATTACAAGGACATTGTTTAGTTGGATTTATGTCAAGGATTTTGTCCCAATTAGTATATTCAGAAGGCATTTACACATATTCACACAACATTTACACTGTGGCTCCTGTCATCCTTTACCAAGCAATACAAACTTTTTACTTAAATAGGTCACAAGTATTAACTTACTAACCAAGTCTCCTCCATACCGATTCCCAGAAATGCACAAAGGGCTTTGGGAAGAGTCAGGAATTTTGCTCACCTGCACTGCAGTTTGGAAATGGCAAGAAACAGCTACAGTTTCATAACTCCTTCTTCAAACTATTGTACACAAAGGAGAGAGCACTCCTGCTTTCTTCCAAATCTTTACAAAAGTGAGAAGAATCACCACTGGAGTGGTTGCTTCTCTCTGGAGAACTTACCTTATTCAAATCTCCTCTGCATACAAAGAAAACAAAAGTGTGCTTCTCCTTTAATGCCTCCAGCAAGCACAGAAGGTTTAGAAGAAAGATGGAATTTTCTTTCACTTAATACAGTCTGAAAAAAGGAGAAGCTCTTGCTTTTTCTTCCCTTCTCCAAACTGCAATGCAAAGTGACCTCGTTGGAGGCTCTTTTGAATCCCTTCTGCCAAAAGAACAGGGTATTGGTCTCTAGGAAGGAAAGTTATAGATGCCTGTTTATTCTGGAGAAAAGGAAATGGGCCATGAGCACTTGTAGCAATGCTTTAAAGACCGAGGATTACCAGCATTATCAATGAATAGGACTGGGGGAAAGGCACTGAGGCAAATACTGGGCTGAAGAAGAAGATGCATTACATGCCTCCGGGCTTGAGGCACCAGAGAGGCTTCCCTGGCAACTTCTGGCAGCCTGCCAAAGAACAGACCATTTAAAATTCAAAATTTTTGGAAAGATACCTTGGTTATATGGTCAAAATGCCTAAGCATGCTGTACTGTTTCGGCTGCAGGAGAGCTTCAAAGTGAGCTCTGATAACAGGAATGTAGTGTACTATCAGCTGCAGGCAGCGTGATGAGAGAGCTATAAACAAAGAGGAGAAAATAGGAGAAACCACACAGAACTATTATTGTGTTGTACTTACTCTGTTAAAAGAAAATAAACAGCAATCTACACTAGAGAAAACAGTTTTCATCTCAGAAAGTATGCATTTCAAAGAATGATCATCACACATGAACATAAAGAAAGGCTTTGCATCAAACCAAGACTTGAACTATATCTCTAAAAGGCTACAAAATGAGAAAAGTTTCTCTTGAAAACTGAAATTTATATGACTATGCAAGTTTGAAAATTGGAGCCATACCTAAATTTTTTGTAGTTATTGTTTTCAAGCCAACCACTTGCAATGCACCCGCTCCAAGAACAAGTTGACAACTTCTTGAATTGAAATACTGCATGAGAAAGGGAGGAAATAGTCACTTAAGACCTCTGTACAAAGTAGGGGGTGAATGATTTTTACTAAACGTATTTTTCCCACCTTCATAAATCATAGTGATAAATCCTGGTGCGATGCTAAGTTGAAAAAGCTAACACTTGTTTTTTAAGCTAGATAAGATTCTGCAATTTGATGATGTCACAATCAACAAATTATTACAGCTGATCCTAGAAATGATAACCCTTCACTCTCATGTGTATGTGTATGTGGTACCAGTTAAGCTTGGGTTCTCTGGTACCACATACACATACACATGAGAGTGAAGGGTTTAACTTGAGAGTGTACGCAATCGTGCATGTTGGTTGTTTCTTATCTTACATGTCTGTTTCCTGAGCTTTATGGAGGCAAGTTAGCACAGGGATCTACATATGTAAAGCCCAAAGTTACAGTTTGACTTCATGGTGTAAAAATTGTGAGGCTTTTAACTTTGGACAATATGTGTGCAGGTATATGTAAAATATGAAGTGGAATTGGGGATGGGATGGGCCAGCATTGTCCCAGGACCTCACCGTATATTGGACATTTGCAAAGGATTAAGGGGCACCAGAAGAATCCACTTTTCTCTGCAATATTCCATCCTAAAAAAATGTAGGAAACTGACTGCCTACTCTGGTAATAATTGCTGTCTGTGATGAAATCTGTTTTATGAAAGCCTTATATGGCCTTGTATTTTTAAGAGCTTGCTGAGCTTACCACAACCCATGGAGTGTCATTTGGCCAGCAACCTGCAAGAGGGCCTTCTCTGGGGTAGAGCTTGCTCTCTGGAATGCCTACCTTCATTGTTCAAAGTGGACTTGAAGAAATGTGCTTTCAACACCTATTAAAACACACTTCTTTGCACACCCTATGTCCTGAGATACTTTTAAGGTATGTTGTTATTTTCAGTCCCATGCATGCTTTTTGATGCTAAGAGTTAAGCTATTGCTTTCCATATATATAGGTAGATTCATTAAACATTTATGCAAAGGCTACCCTTAAAAATGCCTGGTACATTTATTTTATTTATTTAAAACATTTTTATGCTGCCCCCATCGCAACAAAGCCTCGGGGTGGCTTACAACCAAAACATACAAAATTATACAAAAACAAAAATATTAAAACCCGGTGCATCTCAGCTTAAAAATTTTTTAAATCCTACACAATAAATTAACACTTAAAATAAGTTTTAAATAAAAAGGTCTTAGCCTGGCGCCGAAAAACAAATAACGACGGCACCTGGTGGACCTCTCTGGCGAGCGCATTCCATAGGTGGAGCGCCATATTTCCTGCATTTGACCACAGATCTGAGAGTGCTATACCTTCAGTAAATCAGACAGGCGAGTAAGCATATCAGTAGCTATGGAAGGGACGTTATCCACACACTGGCAATACTCAAGGATGATTTTAATTAGTAACAATACCGTCCTGCAAGACAAAGAATCAAACATGCGATTTCAGACCATATGACAGGCTGACAAATGGTCAACTCAACTTCAAAATATGTTTCCTTTGACTTTTGCTATTTAGCCAGAAACACTGTCAGTTTCTTTGATGGTTCCTGCATTTTACTTTCCAGATTAAAGCCATTCATATACCACTGAATTAAAAGGGAAAACTCCACAGATATATATATGAATCTAGTTTATGAACAGCGAAAGAGAAATAATGGCATATTGAAGAAAAATGATTTAGACATGGTATGAAGCTGTGATTTTCCACTGCACAACAGCTGAAAAGATATATTTGGAAAGAAACTGTTTCAACAGAGTGTACAGCTGCAATGGCTAGCCATTTGAGTGCCACAGCATGCTTGCTTGTTTATTTATTTATTTATTTATTTATTTAAAACTTCTGTATGCTGTCACTACATGCCTTGGCATCTCCGGACGGCTCACAATACATACAATTAAAAACAATAAAATGATCTTGTTATTTATTTATTTACTTATGTATTTAATAAAATGATGTTATTTATAAATAACAAATTCAACAAAAGATTACATAAGGACAAAAAAACTGAAAAGAAAAAGAGCAACTGTTCAACAATAAAATATTATTTTTTAAAATAGTAATTAAATAAAAAGGTTTTAACCTGGCACCGAAAAGAATATAAACTTGGCGCCAGGCGCACCTCTCCAGGGAGTGCATTCCATAATCTGGAATTCCATAATTCCATATACCAGCGATTCCCTAAGTGAACAGTATTGCCCCCCTAGGGGTGCTGGAAAGTTGGGGGGGGCAGTGATTTGTTTTCTTAAATTTTCAGTAGAGGTAACAGACTTAATACAAAGGAAGAGAGATGGGGACAGTAGGGTTGTCGCCCAAGAGGAAAGGGGTCAGCAGCCCAAAAAAGTTTGGAGACAACTTGTATGAACAATTCCTGTTGTAGAAGCTGGAGCATAATCACCAGTGCACATTGGGACAAAGGGGAATCCAACAACAGCAATACCATTTTTCATACTGCTAGAAATAAAAATGCCTAAGCACACCAATTGTATGTTTTAATCACTGAAGCAGCTTAGGGCTCATTTATCTGAAGGGTCCCACAATACCTTATTTGCTTACCTAGGTCCTTAGATCATCTTCAGAGGTTCTTTCTGCCGAATGAAGTACAGCAAGTGGCCAAAGAAAGGGCTTGTTTGGAGCCCACAGCATATTGCATAGAGGCTTGCCTAAGGCCTGTAATACAGCCTTCTTGGCTCCAATTAAAGCACTTTTTATTTTTTACAAGCTTTTAAAGATAATTTTAAGATCCTTTCTGTTTTAGCTTTGCTCTGATAATGTTTTGCTGATGCTGGTTTTATTTAATTACTGCATTACTTTGCAGTGTGGTTAGTTTTGCTTTGTTTGATTTTTTAGGGCTGTGGTTATTTTTAGCTTTTTATCTTTAATCATCCAGGGGACATTTTTATTTGGGCAGCATACAAATAACACAAACAACCAATAATTATGTGTTTTATAGTTAATACTTTAGAACTTCAGTGCAGAAGAATTTATTAATCACTTTCTTTTGAAGAAATTAGATTGCATGTAACTCAAATGCCATTTTTTTCATTATGAACTGATCTGTATATTGGGAACAGATCATTAATATAATCAGGCAGTCATACTGAAACCAAAAAGACCCACTAGATTTTTATGTATTTATTTTAAACTTGCTAGGGTTTCCTAGAAAGGACTACACACAGCAGGGACTTTCAAAATATCAAGTACACCACAAATTTAGGCATAGGCCTGGTTTGTATGTAACAAGTTTGTTGAATCAGGGATTGTATATGTGGGCCTGGAACTACTGGTTTACTATGGATTGGTTAACTATAACCCAAGATACTTTGTTGGTTTGAGTACTGTTTAAACAACGGGCTGTCATTACGTGCAAACTCAGAATTGTGGGTTGTTCATGGATTGTAGTAGGCAGGAGCTGTTTTAAAAAACAGCCTATTGTACATGCAGCAAAGGCAGTGTGACATGCCTGAACCCCAAAAAGTAAGGCCTGAGTCTCTACCTCTTTGAAACGCTTGCTTTGCTTGGCATTAAAGTCTAGTTGCTTACAATAGTAGAGGAGCACTTCAGTCAGCCTTCCCCTGAAATTGACATCTGCTTTCATGAAACCACTGAGATGACACAAGGAGCACACACACTGCACATCTGCAGCCTTAAAAGTTCCTTAACAGGCATGACTTCTGCAGGCAAGAGGCAGTAATGAGCCCATGCTCTGATGTTCAGAGAGGGAACCTTGGCCATCCAGACAGGATTGCTCCTTGCTAGCTCACTGTACTTTGTTATTTCTTAGCACCTGTGAAAATAGTAGTATCCAAACTATCCCAGTAATCATATCTTTTAATTGTGTAGAATGCTGTACACATGCACTGAATACAAGTTTGTAATCTATAAAAGCTAGTCACTTCCTTTGTGCTTCAGACTATATTTGAGGAGAATTCTGCTGTTTTGATCTGAACCCATCTCACCTTCCATAAGTCCCTGCTGCAAGGAGTAAGAGGCTGCGGCGAAATGTTTTGGAAGTCTAGCTATCATTTGAGTATTTTGCAATAATAAAAATCTCTTTCTTGGTAAATGTGGAGTTGGAATATCACTCTCTGGAAGCAACCCAGAGACAGGAAAAAAAACCCCATGGTTTAATTCAACTATCAGCCTGGCAAACCCTGGGTAGGATAACAAACCATAAATTATGGGTTAGAATTATGTGTGGACCATGTCAAAATATGCAACTAAACTATCCCTGGCCACTGATTAGGAGGAAACCAAATTATCCAAGTCTGCCTTGGCCTAAAACTGGAAGAATGTAAATAAATGCTGAGTTTTTTGCTGCAATATCCTTTTTGTCTGACTCATACTTCAGTTATTCTTATTTTCATAAAATCAGTACCCTTCTGAATGCTCTAAATTACTAGTCAAAACACAAACGAAGCAATTTGTCATGAAGAAAGAAATAAAAATACATCTTACCCAACTACAGCATATTTTTGTCCATCAACAATAAGGAAGTCAGTTGGCTTTCTTTCCTCAGGTGCTAATTGTTGGAAAAAAAAAACCAAAGAACAACTAGAACTAAAGGCAATCCAAAGAGCAGTATAAATATCTTCAGTCTTACGTTAAGCACTTCCCAGGGAGTGGGAACAGCAGGGCAGTGAAGGAGCAAGCTGGGTGACTTGGAATGGCATACTCTAATGGATGCCATACAGAAGGCAAGTGGTCCGGCAGGGGAGGGAAGCACCCTCCAGCACAGAAATGCAGTGGGCTTCTGCAAGAAATTGCACTCTACACCCCACTCCTCTGCAAGCCTGTTGCAGCCTAGCAAGGAAAAAAGGGTATTAGAACTGGCCTTATTCATTCCTGTTTCCTACTTATAACAGTGTTGTAAAACTTCCACTCGCTTTTGAGCAGTTATGCTACTCAGTTTGTATTCCCTAGATTCACAGTGGATTCCATGACACACAGTACATTACAGGTCACATGCTTTATTCTTAAGGCTCTCTAACACTCGCTTACTGTACTGTGGTGGATCTTATGCTGCCACTTTGCCTCTGGTCATTCTGTGGGCTAGCAGACTAGACCACAAGAGGATCTAGCAGTTTCCGAAATATGCACAGAAATAAGCAGAAATGTTCATTTCCTGCACAGGACAAGTCAGTGGGGTCAGGTCCGGTTCCTTCATTCCAAAACTGAAGCACACTGCTTGCTTCAGGATCCACTAGTTTTTATTGCTCTCAATACATGTGAAAGAAACTGAGTGTATGTTACCTCATGGCACATTACTATGTTTTCACTATCATCTGAAAAGAAAGGAAGAGCTGAAAGAGGGAAGGCAAGGCTTGGGGTGGCTGGATCACTAGAGACCTCAGACAACCAGCTCTTCCCGAGACAAAATATGATTTTACTCATCTGCGCAAGTTCTCTAGATTATACTTGCATCAAAAATCAGAACCCCACCATGAGGCTTTGCAGCATCATACTTGTTCATCAGAGCTCCTATTATTATTTCAAATAAAATCAATGGGTTTGTGCATTTTCCAGACATTGAATCACCCAGTAAGAGGGGTTTCTTCCAACCCGGTATGCATATCCTTACTTTGTCTTTTCTGTGAGAAAAAGTAAAATACTGCTCAAGGGAGCATTCCAGCAAAGCACACTCGGATGCACTGAAGATCCCTGGCGCCCCTGCCCCCAATGGTTTATGATAATCAGCATTTTTGTAAGTAGTGTGTCAGCGTATCCAACTGTGTAAGTGTTAACCCTTAGGAGGAACTGAACCCCATGGGCTTGCTTACCAATATTTTGGACTTACTATGTGGATAATTGGGGTATTCTCAGAACATGTAGCTACAGTGGTACCTTGGCTCACGAACGCTTCAGTTCATGACCAAATCAGGTCACAAACAGAAATTTAGGAAAAATTGTTTCTCAGGTCGCAAACTCCACATCGGGTGATGATCACAATCGCACCTGTCTCCCCCCTTGAACACGCCCGCGATCACACCTGTCTCTCCCCCATTGAGCACGCCCGTGATCCCATCTTCCCTGTGATTAAAAAAAATATTTACAGAATGGATTAACCTTATTTATACTGAACCTCATGGGGAAATTTGACTTGGCTCACGACCAATTTGTGTCCTGACCAGAGTCGTGGAACGGATTAAGCCAAGGTACCACTGTATTTTGGTGGCATTTTCTGCATTAAACACAGTTTTCTTATATTCACTACCCACACAACCAAATACAGTTAGATATCTTCAGATGGTTTTCTCTTCAAGCTAAGTGTAGATCAGGTCCAACAGGTGTGGCTTGAGGATGGGATTAAGATGCATGATTTATATACACTTCAGAGAGATTTGGCTGTTCAGGCAAGAACAAGAGATTCAAACCCATTACATTTATTTTGGGGCAAATTCTACATTTCTTGGTTACTCGGCTTTTGAACAACTTCCTCCTTAACAAGCTGGTCTCTCTCTCTCTCTCTCTCTTTGGAAACCATTATAATGTATTTGTGTATTGACATTTTGCCACAATATCCACACGGCTATATTAGAATAAGTAGGAGATACAGAGGCAAGGGACCTACCTACTGCTTTTTTTTCTGGTAAAGCAATTTTGCTATCAGATATAGAATCAACAAGATCTTGAAACTCAGCAGGAACATCAGCTTGCTTCCAGCGCTCATTATCTAGCAGGAGGCTATGTATAAACATAAAAGAAAAGGAGTTTTCAAACAAAATACATTGTGCTGTGCCTGTACTGGTTTTTAAATTTATTGCCAGAAATGTGAAATCTACAATCCGCACTTAGCAGATTCCCAAGACAGCTTCTTGGGCCAAAACCTTATTGAAAATAAGTAAGAATGAATACTAATGAAATAGCTTGATAATCATAGCCTTAGCCCGAATCTATATAGTTAGTGATCTATGTGTGTGGCCTTCTGTAACACAATTAGTGGAATGGTGTAAACTGGTGTCCTGCAACACCAGGGGGTTGGACATGATGGCCTTCGTGGCCCCTTCCAACTCTACTATTCTATGATTTTGTGAATCCTGCAGGAAGCCATTTGTATGAAGTGAGTTCCTATATACTTTTGTCAATTTCAATAATACTGCCACATTTTTTCTTTTCTGAAGCATAGCACCTATGGTGCTAAAACTACTTAAACCATATGAGAAACAGCTTTCCAAACCCCACATGCTGCATTATCCAGATAATTGCAACCAATAATGTGTAATTTAGTGCAAGAGTAAATAGGACCTCAAATAAAATTGCTGAACATGTGGCAAACTTGACCCATAGAATCTAGCAGCCTGATTAAGTAAAATAGAAGTGGGCAACTCAGAGGCCTGAGGTGCCACAACGGTTTCATGGAATCCTTCAAGGTTGCAGTTCACCTATTATGAAGGGTCTTTCAAGACACTACATGTTTAGAAGCTACTTTTTGTAACATCACACTTCATTACTCAGACAGCTTTTAACAGTTACATTCATTTGCTTATTCTGAAGGCACTGTGGCTGCCACAGGTTCACTGCAGCCATCAACATAATTATTTCAGCTTGCTAAACAATGAATATGACAATTCCTGTTAATAAAGCCACTGTTCTTTCCTCCATCTGAAACAAGGAACTATACTTCAATGTGCATTTACTAATGGGGATCAAACTGTAGTTTAAAGAGGCTAGGTTGTAGTTTAGAGAGATTATAAGCTTGCTCAGTGCTTTTTTTGTAAAAAAAAAAAAAAAAGGCGCCTGTAGGTACTATGTTAATGATGTTTGCAGCTGATCTGCTACGCCCCTTCAAAATCACTTCATAAATCCATTGAAAAAAAGGTGCCAGAACACCGTTCCCCTGCATTCTATGACAAAAAAAGCCCTGAGCTTGCTTATATCAAAAGGGTTCTGACGGAATGATAATATGGTATGGAATGCAAAGGAAGAGTACAATACTGCAATGAGGGGCACTGTAAAGCTGCAATAAATTGCACTGGTTTATAAGGTACACACAGAGAGATACCTAAGTTTAGTCTTTCTTTCCTCATGGAATCTGTTCACAAATCTGTTAGCTTGACTCTGAAGCGCACCACGCAATGACATACTCTTCCTGCCACAGATCTGTTCTGTATCCAAGATGAAAGTTTCCATCAGTCGTGAAAGGGCAACAAACTCTGCAGAATTCAATTTTTCCAGGAACCCATCCTAAAGGCAAAAGATGAAAGGATGCGATAACATTTTAATTATTTCCATTTCTATCTTATCTCATCCCAAAGATTCAGAAGATTCATACATCATCAAATGCCCCAGCAACAGTTTCAAGACAATTTTTCAAATACAGACATTTGGAGGGAATAGGTTTCAGTTTATTATTTAGTCATCAAATCTGTCTCATACCTTTTTAATAGTTTAAGGTATAGTACAGGTTAGTATGAAATGAAATCATACTAACAAGACCCATCCAAGACTCACTCAGCATTTCTACTGTTAAGACACTATTGCATTCTATGTGCATTCCATACACACGAGCTCTGTTCACTAAGCAAAATGTGCCTCAGAGTCATGCATTACAAAATTTTCCTGACAACAGGCCCTGTGCAGGCACAAAGTCCATGTGTTGACACAAAGAGACCACGAAGAACTGTGGTTTGCAGTTTGTGTTTGCAAACCAGTAACAGGAAACACTAACAGGAGGAAGCAATAGCTGCATAAAAGGGGAAAGGCCAAGGAAGTGCACAAGTGCAAGGCTTGGGCATGATACAATTAACTTCAATCTAAACCCCCCCCCTAAGTGTTGTCAAAGGAATAGGCACTTTGTGGAAAATACAACTTCTATTCATTTTGGCCATTCCATTTCACCACAGCAACTCCTTAAGATGGGGACCCAACTATAAACATAAGGGTTGGGGAAGAGTTTCTTTCTCAGTTGAAAACAAAACTCTCTTCTGGGATATGCCTCAGAATCATTAAGCAGTAGAGTTGGAAGGGGCCTACAAAGCCATTGAGTCTAAGCCCTTGTTCAACAAAGGCATCCAAGTTAAAGTGTTCCTGACAGATGGCTGTCCAGCTGCCTCTTGGAGCCCATAACTTACCTTTGCTCTAGCCATGAGGAACTTGACAGAACGATCATGGCAAATATCAGAGGCACTGTAAAGAAGTTCCTGGATGTTATTTGCTAATCTACCCAGTTCCAATTCAGACAGCTTTATGTCCTCACTAATCCTGAAAGTAACAGAAATAAGAATTTGCTTACATAGTGTATATCAGTCAATATAGCCAATGACTCACACATACATTCACACTGATTCACCCCTTCTACATTCACCCCATCTACAACATTGTATCCCAATGTAAGACTAGAAGAGAACTCTATTTTGCTTGTTGTTTAACAAACATTCAGTAAATCCAGCAAATGTCAAATATTCTGTATGTGAACATTACAAAGCTATTGATACCCACTTACAGCTCATGTCAATCTTCAAAGTATTTATAGTGATTTACACACCAAATCTTGAAAACACATAAGAAAAGTTACCACAGACTAGCTTCAGGCTTGCAACCTCTCAAATGGAGAGATAATACTGGAAATCTGTGGGCTACAAGAACATATTGAAGTAACCAACCAACCACAGCTTTTGTGTGCTTTAGAGTCAATTGGAATCTGTCTCATGTTGTGTCCAACGTCCACTCTTGGGTCAACCTAATTCTAACAATGTCTGATATGGATTCCCCATCACTGAAGTGGGAACAGAAGCAGTGAAGGAGGACTAGAAACTTTTCCTTCCACAGATGAAGAGAGGGTTAGCCTTACAGAGAACTTGTAAGCATCTTAAAAATTAACCTCTAATAAAAACACAAAGTTTGGCCATAATATCTGCTCTTCTACTATTCCCAGAGATAGTAAAAAATGTTGCACAAAGGATCTCAGCAGTTTCTAACATACAGGACCCACTCATAGATAACAGTGGCAAATAATGAACTAATCGTAGCATACAATTTTGATAAATTACAGGTTAATTAACCCACAATTTTGTAGTCAAGATGTACAAACCATACTATAGGGTGGCCAAAGTATCATTTTTAGACAATTCCATATTACATTTGAAATAAAAATTAAGAAAAGTTACAGTTTACTATTATATTATGGAATTCTTCTGTTGAATTTGTGTCAAATTAAAAAGAAAAAGCTAAGATAATGGCTTTGAATGCTTATAACACTGATATTAGAATTTAGGGTTGGAATCATGAAACTCATTTCTCTTCCAGAAAACTGCACAGCATATGCACCAAAACAGTTTTGGAAATCAAGTTTTCAAGTTCTTATTTTTAGAGTAATGTAAACTCAGATTTGAAAGTAAACATCAGTTATCCAAAGATTGAACCTACACTGATTTTGTTAGATTAGTTCAGTTCTGGTTTATACAATGGAAACTCACTCCTGCTTCTTCAAATGGATTAAAGATCTTTATTACATACATTATGTCAGTTCCACCTGGTGTAATGCTGGATGAAGTATGTTCCTTGCTAGATGAGGAATCAGTGGTACATTCAGGCTCAGAAACAGAGTCACTACTGCTGGGCTCACTGTCTGGGGAAAGGTTTCTCTGTGAAACAGAATCAGCTTCCTTGGATGGAAGATCTTCACTGAAGGCATCACTTATGAACATGCCTTCATGAGTCAGATAAGCCACTTCTGTGTCTATGGTGTTCTCCTTCACAGCATTCTTCTGTATAGAAGCATCCCCCAATTCCTTGCTCCTTTGGTTCTTGTCTAGAACCAAGAGAACAACATTTCTGATGACATTTATTGTTGCCTAGGATAAAAAACAAGTCCTATTAAAACACAGATTATACTGTATTCCTAAAAGAATAATCCTTTAGCAAGAATATTTATATTTTAAAAGTTGCATAATTTGTTCCCAACAATAGTGTGAATCAGAGATTCATATCCACCAATTTTGTTCCAGAGTAGCATCCACTTTTATCTGCTAAATTCAAAAATATGGCAGAATATATGACCTATACCTAAGTAAGGGGAAATATTGTCAAAGTAACATTGTCTGACATGTATTTCTACTATGCTCCTCATATTGGAGAAACAATCTTCTCCAACTGGTCTTGAAAGTACCCCACAAAAAGGCAAGGGGTTCCTGCATACTCAGGGGAATCCCCAGGTACACAGGATCTTATTTGCAGATTACATTTTAAAGAAGCCTGAGGTGAATATATCATCATTCCCTTCCAGAATCTGTGAATTATTTGATGTGTCACCTGTGGGGCGGGGGGGCAGGGGGGCAAGGCAAATGGCCTAGAGCAGCCTTTAACACCTCGCAGTATTCTGGAGCTGGAGATTAGAGTTGGGCTGATTCTTAATAAAAGCTTCCCTCCTTGTAGTACACAGTGAAGGTTTTGAATAGAGGAAAAGAGAACTTATCTCCTAACTCACCCCCTGCTGAAACCTCAGCCATTTAATGTTATCATTGTAACTAAGCCAAAATATGTGTAACTGAAATAACCACATATTCTTCCTCTGCCTACCTACCTGTGTCTCCATTTCCCCCTTTTTTCCTCTTGTATTCCTGTGTCTATTATAGTCAGTAAGTCCTTTGGGGTAGGAACCTGTCATACATGTTCTTGTTAAAAGTACCGTGAATGTAGATGAGACTACATAACTAGATAACAGGGAGTACAGTGTAATAGAGGAGCTTTCAGAAAGTTGCATGTGCGCTCCTTTTCCTCCTCCACCCTAACACCTCCTGTCCTGCAAGCCCAGATCATCATCTCAAGACTGCTGTTCCAGAATGGGTGCAGCCCTGAACAAGCCTCCTCTTGACTGGGGCTGAAAGCACACTGCAGCATTTTTCCCAGGTCTTTACTTGAACTCACTATCTATAAAGCACCCAAAAACCCCTGGAACTGTAGGATAATGAGAGAACATTATTATATAAAATCCACAAAAGAGTTTATTATATTTAGTACCTTTCACTCCTGGCAGCCCTTGCATATGAAATCCCCTTCCTTATGCTGTTGCTCCCTAAGGACCCCAGCAGCCTTGTCCTAACTGGTCTGTTGAGGTTTTAAAGTGGGTTCTCTCTCTTCCAAGTATACCTGCGTATCTGCAATACTTCCTAGCCCCCAGAAAAAATATTAAATCATAGTAAACAGTTTTGCTGTGATTTCTCCCTTTATGCATTTATCTGCTTTCTCCATTTCCAAAAGTAAGCAGGGAGACAGACAGACACATCATTCAAACAAGAAGATTAAAGGGGATGATAACTTGTGCATTGCTAAGGAGGTGAGAGCAGAAGAGAATGAGTGGCCTTGTGGCCACTTTTATGGCCACTCTTTCCATGGGACTCTATTCAATTTACATACCAACAATGGCAAAATGTCCTGGGTTCAGACAACCAGAGAAGCTGTGATGAAAACTTGGCTGAGTTGCTCAATGATTTGGGGAAACTAAAGGTACCACACAGAAACAGCATAACTGGGTCCAGATAACATGAGAGACTAATCATGGCAAGATATGCAAAGGCCATGGCTTCTTGTGACATATGAATTGGGCCAATGAGTACAGGCCTTCACTTTTTCATTTCTCAGAGAGAAAAGACACACACACACGTAATATTAAGAAAAAGTGATTAGAGAACTACTAGTAGAAGCAATTGTGATACAAAGAGAAAACAACAAGTAAAGTTCCCTAGAAGACGGCCACAACGGCAGTCGAAGAGAAGTTCCCTACAAGTGGCAGTTTTTTAAAAAGTAGTGTGGAAATAGATAGGAACCTGCTAGGGAAATGCATGCTGAGATTGTGAGAGAGGGCTCACACCAAGAAAACCACAGTTACAGTATTTTCCCAAAGTGGATTCTACTCAGCTGGATAGCCCATAAATCTAATGCATGAAGATCACCAAAACACACACGTACACACACATGCAAAACCGCAGGGGTGGGGGAGCAAGGTGTCAAAGAGAAGAGTCAGAAATGGGGTGGCAGAAAAAAAAAGAGGAATAGGGAAAGGGAATAGAAAAAATCAACTTGCCTTGATTCTGGTCCCACCTACTGCTGACATGTAATTCCTGACACACTACCCCTGAGAGAAAGAGGGTTCCCCCCCCCCGCTTTTAAAGCTACAAATCCACTACCAACAGCAAAAATTGGAGACCATTACATGACAATTTTCTCAGTATTTTGATTTTCTTATCATTATATAATATCAGCCACAATATCAAGGGGTCAATCAGCTGCTCATCCCCCAGTAGGATATATGCTTTTGTCTCCTAGTGATGCCTACTGCATTCTACATGGCAAAAATTGCCAGTCTCTGTGCAAAGAATGAACTGACACAAATCTGACATCGGAAATGGCAGTATTCAAACCCGTAAGATGCCCTGCTGCCAACCTCAAAATTCTTCAATAAAAGCTTCAAAGGTAGGCTTCAGAAAGATGCTACTGAATTACAATTTATGAATTCAGCTGTATTAAGTGCAGGATGAAGAGCTTTTTCTCTCTCTACAAGTATTACGAAGCTATCAGTGCTAGGATGTTTGTGATATCAACAATGCTAACTCTGAATGCTAACAACTTACATAGATTTAAGCTTTAACGAAATGCCACTGCTTCTACCTCTTGCATTTCATTTCTTCTGAACTCCCAATCCTCCCACAACAACCATACGTGCATCTGATGAAAATAACTCCAACCTATATAAACCACAGTAATTTTAAAAAATCTTTACAGAATTTTCTGTTATTCTCAATAAATGTTTGCTCACTTTCACCTGACAACTATTTATCTATTTATTTATTAAACTTATGTTCTGCTAAATTGGCTTGAGGGCCCTCTAAGAGGATTACAGTCAAATAAAAACACATTGTGACAATGACAATAAAACAAGTGGTTAAAATACAATAAGCAAAAGACAATAAAACAAAACAGTTTCATTTCAAGTGAACTGGACTAACTGAAGACCAGCTATGCACATATTTCTAAGATCTAATGATCCTGGCTTGTTAACTGACATTAAGACAACACTTTGACATTTGGATGCAATGTGGGTAGCCAGAATACAACCCAGAAATGACAAAGCAGTGCAGAAGGAAGACGGAGCACCATTTTAGCCTCAATGTTCATTCCAGGCTTCAAGAACCGTGTTTTATTAAACCTGGAATGAGTGTGCCTTTTGGGTCAGTGAAAATGAAAAGAATTTGACATTAATTATCAGGCCAGAGATTTGTATGTAGGTATCTAGTTCTGAGGCTGTTTTCATTTCCAGGTTCAAAGGAAGCCATGTCCATCAAATCTTCCAGTTTCATCTAAACACCAATATGTTCTGAACATCTACAAACTGTGAAATGTAAATACATCACAGAACTCTTAAGATATTCTTTAAAAATACTAGCTTCATGCTTTCACACTCCTCCGACATAACTGATAGTAAGAGATATGAAGGTGGCGATCAACCACAGTTTAGTTTTATGTCTGAACATGTACTAACTGCATTTAGCCTTAACTACAATTGACTGAAACAAGTCAACTTCAAATGTTAGCTTATGAAACTGCCTTGTTTCAGTAAACTCTATGTAACTACAGTTTAAGGTTTAAACAGTTTAAGGTTTAAACTGTGATTAACCAAAAGCAGAAGCAAAAACTTATCTTTCTCTCCAAAGAAGGAAAGAAGAGGAGAATGTGTGAGCTACAGAGTCTCTAGGTTTATTTCTGTAATGGTAATTCACAGTTTATCATTACATCCAACTGCAGGCATTGACTGAACTGTAATATGGAAACAATTTAAACATTTTAAAAAATAAACTTTTGGAACTTATGACAGTTTTCAATTTCACTGTACTAAGCTTCACCTCTGGTTTTGGAACAGTAACTGCCTTGGTTGCCCTGCTGGATGACCTCTGCCAGGAATGGGATGGGAGAGTGAGACTCCTGTTAATTCCCTTGGACCTCTCAGTGGCTTTCGAGATCCAAAAAGGTGGACTTGTGGCACAAAGCACCCTTTATCAGCTTAAATTGATATGCCAACTACATCCTTATCTGGACAGGGAGAGCTTAGATACAGTAATCCATGCGTTAGTAACCCTCTTGGTTGGATTACTTCAATGCATTATATGTGGGGCTGTCTTAGAAAACAGTTTGGAAATTTCAGCTGGTCTAAAACAAGGCAGCAAGACTGCTAACAGGAACTTGCCAGATTGATCATATTAGGCCAGTATTTTACCATCTGTACTAGCCACCAGTCCACTTCCTGCCTGATCTGACATGTCAGTATTAATGTTCATTGCCCCAAACAGCTTGGGGCCAAGTTACTTAAAGGTTGACTCCTCTCAGCTAGAGACAATATCTATTTCAAAGTACACCTTACCTTAATTCTCTTAGGATGAGAAAAATGGGGGGTGGGGGGGAATCATTCACTCTCATTCTCAGCAGTTCTTCTAAGGGAGTCCCTGCCAAAGGAAATTAGGTGGTTGGATACTAAGAAGAGGGCCTTTTTTGTTGTGACACGCAACTATGGAATCAGCTCCCCAGAGACCTATAATTGTACTCTTTCCAGCACCAGGTAAGTCCTAATTTTTCAAAAAAAAAGTTTTAAATTGTTTTAAATTTTCTGCATTGCATTTTAAATCTTTGTATTTCATAAATCTTTAGATCTTACTCTAGTCTTATTTTTATTTTATACTATAGTGTTAATTATTTAAATTTAATGTTGTATTTTATACTGTATTCTATGTTTTAAATTGTGAACCACCCAGGGAGCTTCTTCTATTGGACAGTATAAAATGTAATAAATAGATAAACAGACTATGTATTTATTTGAGGAATTAATACTAAACAACTAATTTGGTAAACAATAACAGCATACAAGGATACAGTTCATTTGGGACTGTTATAAACCACAGACACTAATATTCCAAGAGACAACGTCTATCTTACCTTAATTCTCTTGAGAAAGATAATAAAATTTGAAAAAACATCCTTCAGCAAATCAAACCACTGTGGAAAATTCATCATCCTCATTTGATCTGCAAGTCTATGAAGAATACCATAAAACAATCAATACAATTTCAGTTAAACTTCAGTTTAGCCCTTAACTCACAGGGCTCAGTCTAAGTTTTCTGTCTTTAAAATAAGAAATTAAGGCCCGCCCTCATATTGTTAGTTTGATGATTAATCAGATAAGAACCAAAAGCACAATTCAGGAATAGATAACAAACACTATGATGAAAATGAACATTAAACCACAATAACATATTTTTGTAGCACAATTTACATTTTGAGACTTCAAAGTCCGAATGAAGTCTTTGCAAATAATTTCAAACACCCTAGAGGGCAGGTAAGATATCACCATAAGGTGCATGTTCCATCTCTGCTACTTCAGCATGGGCACAAGGAGACTGGAAGATTTCAGTTCTGGTTTTGGTTAACCACTACTACATCCAGTCCATAAATCTCAGGTAATCTTGAGTCTCATGAAGCAAGGTAGTTTTATAACCCATGCTTTGAAGTTGCCATGTTTCAAATACACCATACTTAAGTTTAAACACAGTATGACAATTTTGGATGAAACAAACAAGCTTGGGCAATCAAGATTGGAAGTAATCAATCAAGCAATCAAGACTGGTTGTGACCCAAATTGGTCATGAGCCAAGTCAAATTTCCTCATAAGGGTCAATATAAATAAGGTTGACCCCATAAGTTTGATGTAAATAAGGTTAATCTGTTCTGTAACTATTTTTTTTTTTATTCACAAAAATCTGAAGCAAAGTGACAAAGAACAACAAAGATCTCAGCCAAGCAAAAGTCAGTCTTGTTTCTTAGTCATGTCATGAGTTCTGAGACTCAGACAAATAACTCAGAATTCCAGAAGTTACAAATTCATTCTCATTTATTCAACTGGTTCAGACACAACGAGCTAACACTAATTTAGCTTTATAAGAATGAACTTAGCCTCCTCTCTCCTTTCCTGACTCCAAACTGCCTATCTGATGTGACCACAAGTAAGAGTTTGGAAGCTTTGCTTCCATGTTACATTAATTGCATTTCCTATATTGTCCAACTTAACAAACCATGATTACTCTTAACTATGTATAGTGGAAACAGGAAACTTCGTATCATGGTTTCCAAAGCTGGCTTGTTGTGCTACAGTATATCACAGAAGTGAGTACACCCCTCACATTTTGTAAATATTTTATTATATCTTTTCATGTGATAATCCTGAAGAAATGACACTTTGCTACAATGTAAAGTAGTGAGTATACAGCTTGTATAACAGTGTAATTTGCTGTCCCCTCAAAATAACTCAATACACAGCCATTAATGTCTAAACTGCTGGCAACAAAAGTGAGTTCACCCCTAAGTGAAACTGTCCAAATTGGGCCCAAAGTGTCAATATTTTGTGTGGCCACCATTATTTTCCAGCACTGCCTTAACCCTCTTGGGCATGGAGTTCCCTTGAGCTTCACGAGTTGCCACTGGAGTCCTCTTCCATTCCTCCATGATGACATCACGGAGCTGGTGGATGTTAGAGACGTTGTGCTCCTCCACCTTCCGTTTCAGGATGCCCCACAGATGCTCGATAGGGTTTAGCTCTGGAGACATGCTTGGCTAGTCCATCACCTTTACCCTCAGCTTCTTTCGCAAGGCAGTGGTCGTCTTGGAGATGTGCTTGGGGTCGTTACCATGTTGGAATACTGCCCTGTGGCCCAGTCTCCGAAGGGAGGGGATCATGCTTTGCTTCAGTATGTCACAGTACATGTTGGTATTCATGGTTCCCTCAATGAACTGTAGCTCCCCAGTGCCGGCAGCACTCATGCAGCCCCAGACCATGACACTCCCACAACCATGCTTGACTGTAGGCAAGACACACTTGTCTTTGTACTCCTCACCTGGTTGTCGCCACACATGCTTGACACCATCTGAACCAAGTAAGTTTATCTTGGTCTCATCAGACCACAGGACATGGTTCCACTAATCCATGTCCTTAGTCTGCTTGTCTTCAGCAAACTGTTTGCGGGCCTTCTTGTGCATCATCTTTAGAAGAGGCTTCCTTCTGGGACGACAGCCCTGCAGACCAATTTGATGCAGTGTGCGGTGTATGGTCTGAGCACTGACAGGCTGACCCACCACCCCTTCAACCTCTGCAGCAATGCTGGCAGCACTCATACGTCTATTTCCCAAAGCCACCCTCTGGATATGACGCTGAGCACATGCATTCAACTTCTTTGGTCGACCATGGCGAGGCCTGTTCTGAGTGGAACCTGTCCTGTTAAACCGCTGTGGCCACCGTGCTGCAGCTCAGTTTCAGGGTCTTGGCAATCTTCTTATAGCCTAGGCCATCTTTATGTAGAGCAACAATTCTTTTTTTCAGATCCTCAGAGAGTTCTTTGCCATGAGGTGCCATGTTGAACTTCCAGTGACCAGTATGACAGAGTGAAAGCAATAACACCAAATTTAACACACCTGCTCCCCATTCACACCTGACACCTTGTAACACTAACGAGTCACATGACACCGGGGAGGGAAAATGGCTAATAATGCCCAATTTGGAAAGTTTCACTTAGGGGTGTACTCACTTTTGTTGCCAGCGGTTTAGACATTAATGGCTGTGTGTTGAGTTATTTTGAGGGGACAGCAAATTTACACTGTTATACAAGCTGTATACTCACTACTTTACATTGTAGCAAAGTGTCATTTCTTCAGGGTTGTCACATGAAAAGATATAATAAAATATTTACAAAATGTGAGGGGTGTATTCACTTCTGTGATACACTGTAACTAGAGTTAAGATTATTCATAGTTTTAACACACTACACTGCAGTTAAACTAAAACTGAAGTGGAAGCTTTTTTCCTGCTTTCTAGAAGAGGGAACGTATATAAACTCAAGGCTTGTTACACCTCATTCTTACAACATTAAACTATATTAAAACCAAATATAGAACCTAACTCTATCATTTGCCAGAAATGCATGCTGTATCTAGCTACTTCATTTTCTGTAAACATCATCCACTGACTTAATTGAAGGTTGTGGGTGTAAAGTATGAACCCAGACCAATGGATTTCTTAGAGGCTCAACAACCTAGTAGCTAATCCAACCACAAAACATGGGTTCATATGACAGGCTCACCAACTTCAGTTGGACCAATGAAAGGTTGTTTACAGAAACCAGAAGATGGTGGCAGACAGAATACACCCCTGGAAGCTACAGGTTAAATAATGCACCATTACACAGCTGTAAGACACAGAAGACACAGAACCCACAATTTTAAAAAACAGAACCAAAACTGCACAATCCCTTTCCCCATATGCATTTATTCTATTATATTAGCATCTGAATAGATATAACCCTGGATATTAAAAGCAGAAGAATAATGTAAAAAGATAAATTGTTAAATGGGAAAAACATGGAGCATAATTAGTTCTTAATTATTCATAGATAAATCAGCAAATAAAAATTATGTTTCACTCTCTACCAAATCGTCAGAGCTCCAAGTTATACTTACTTAACAACCACTTCTGTGTCTATTTCTTCTATCTGTGATACTGTATTAACCACACACTGCAAAAAATAAAAAAAATGCCTTAGCTTTTCCCCAAATCAAATGCTTTGAAACCCTAATTATTTAAATATCTTCTGTTTATTCCTGTACTCAGGGCTATTTAAATCTTCAACTGATGTAAATTAAAAATCTACACAAGGGAAAACAGAAATTGGACTCCATATGAACTATGCAAATGTGCACATATTTGCTTATTTAGCTTTACTTCCAGCTAATTATTCACCCTTTAGGAGGCTGAAGCCCAGCTGACTAGAAATGTTCACTCTGCCCTGCTTTCCAAGACACAGTGTTTAATACACATATAATATAAAACCTTTTCATTTCTTGAATTAAGTTCATCCAATAATCTGTATTCTATCTCAAACAAAAGACCTTTTTATGTTGCTTACAATGTTCAATGAATAGGCGTAGTAAAGACCTATGGATTAAGTTATTTTATATACAATAAACTGAGATATATGGATAGTGACATCTTTAATAATTTAAGGGGCTGACTGAGAGTGCTCGCTGTCAAGTCAAGCCCTAGTAGTGCTATACAGTGATTCACAATTGAGTCATACATAGATTCTGAGGTAGCACTCTCCATGCAATAACATTACCACTCTAGTTCAGTTGGGGTGGCAATTGAAATTATATTAGTGGTTTTTAGAGAGATATTAAATTCCTCAATCTTCATGGTAGAATTATTTTAAGCAAACGTATCTGTGATGAATTCAACTTATACTGCCCACTTGACATTGGTAGCTTCTGTTTTACAATAACATAACTCCATTTTGCATGACTAAAAGGGCAGTCAGCCAATGTGTATCTATTGCTTTATGTGTGGAAAACAAAACCTAGCTCTTTCCCCTTCATTCTACTTGCCCAATCAGGCATAAGTATTTTTGAACTGCTCTAAGAGATATTCTCAATTCCTGGCCAGAAAAACTATTAACTTGAGCCTCTCCACCTGACTTTTACAAGCTTCACCTATAAGTAGGTTGGGGACCTGAAAACTGTGAATATGATACAATTATATTGGGCTTGCATGGGAAGGCTTGGGAACTTAACCATCTGTTTTCGTTCATTTTACCAGAGGCTTCCATGAAGATACACAAATAGCAAAATATGGTTGGTGTTGTTGCTTCTTCTTGCTCATACTGGCGTATTTTCTACATAATGATTGAAAGACTCTTCACAATGTATTCCCCCTGGAAGCAAAAATGTGCTATCTTCTCATTCTACCAAAAAATGTAAATAAGTTCAACATGTGGATGATTGTATGGGCAGCAGGGTACATGTATAGTAAGGACAACACATATGTAACAGGATCCCAAAACAGGCTCTGTAAACTATAACGTTTGCTTGCACAGAAAAAAAAAGATGAAAGGAAGCTATGAATATGGTGGGTTATAAATGTAATGTTAGGGTAAAATATGATAATAGTACTAGTAGTTCTAGGGAAATTAAAAATACAAGTAAAAATTCATTACCTGCTTAATTATATTCTTTGCTGTAATAATAATTTCATCTCCATATATTTCAAAAAAATTCAGCTTCCTTTGTTTTAGAAGTCCAAACACTAGTGACACAAGTCTTTCCTGTTTAGAATGAAATATATGAAATATAATTAAAATATAAAAGGAAAATTTGAACTACTAATAAGTTAACACACTAAATAGTAAAATGAATGGCATGTACAGGAAAGCCACCGCACTACTACAACTGTCTGGCTGGGCAGGTGTTATGTGATGCTATGGAAAATACGTGGTTATTGAAAGCATGAGAACATTTCCCACACACATTATGATTATAGATACTGAGAAAGAGAGCTGACAATCATTCAAAAACTGAACAAGATTCATCAATTGTATCTCAATACAAAAGAAAAATAAAACATGTAAGTTGAGTACAGAGCTCAGGCTATTTCGAGTTCTGTCCTGCATCTGCACCCAGGCCTAGCATTACTATCCAGCATATTCAGGCAACTGTTTAGGAACATGCTAAGACTTTCCCGTTTCCTAGATGTTTATTTTTTCCTCAATTAATTGAAAGTATTTAAACATATTTCAATGTTTGGTCCCTGCGATGTTGTTTCTTATCCTAGTTCCTGAATATAATTTTGTCCAGGTTTGGAACACACATCACAGCTTATTTAACCCACAATGAGTCATGGAACCTGCAGGAACCAGGCTAGATAGATAGATAGATAGATGTTTATGTGAGATCGCTGTACTATAAGAATTTGGCAAGAGATGGTTATGCGAGAGTTAAGCAACCCTTGCATGATCCTAAAACAGACAATGAGTTATATGAGGCTTGCTTAATTCTCCTTTATATAAACCTCACTTGTTAGATTTGCACGACACAACAAATTGAGTGGGGGCTGCATATCCAAAATGGTGGCTACACACCCTGCATGCTCCATAGCCTCAATAATAAAGAATACAACAGAAAATACCAAGCATGCAAGAGTAGAATTAAAAGCAATATTTATGTCAGTATGAGGATTCATGTTCCATTCATGCAAACTAATTTCATACAGAAAAGAAGTGAATGGCATTGGCATTTATAAGAGCAGGTTCCAGTTTTTGCCCTAAAAAGGAAACCATCCAAAACCTATTAAATGATTAGCACTGTACCTCTTCTAGAATGTGACATTCCTCCTCCAAAGGTCTAGTTAAGTCACTGTGCGCATAGGTAGAAAATTCTGCAATCATCATTTTATCTATGAGTTTTTCTAATTCACAGAGTTGTGATCCAAGATGTCTGTTCAAGAAAAAAATGAGAGAGATGAAAGTTAAATAATCAAGGGAGGGGGTATGAAAGTGCCACGCAAGCACAATTCAGGAAAATACAGAGGCATATAATTACCATCTTGACAATTTATCAGCAATAACTAACACTATAGAAGAGAGAGTAAAATATAGTATGTATGAGCTACATCCTTCACTGAAGTCAAGAGAATTCTCCTGTGACCTTAATGGAAGTTAGAAATTCTCATCAAAGGGAGAAATATTTTCTGGGCTTGTTAACCTTCTTCAACACACATGCATTTGAATTACAAAGAAAAGCTTCCCTAGGCAGCACAGAAACAATTTAAAGGACTTACAGGGCTTAAGGAAGGGAGAGGTAAGACTTTTATAACTAAATTTACAAGACAGTTAGATATCAGAATGTAAGTCTGCCAGTGTCCATTTTCAAACAAAGCTTTATGAGTTGAAATAATTTGAGTTTTTCTGCTCAGCCATCCATAAGAATCAGTAACTGATAAAAAACAGGTAAGTGTAAATAGAGGGAAGCAGGAAATGGACAGTTCTTTTAGTGGAGGAAAGCAAAAAATCTTTACTGGGGGACAAGTGCTATTTAACTTTTTCAAAAATGAAAGTTTCAGGCAAGATAGTGGATGACATGACATTTCTGAGGAATCAGGCTGCAAAGAGCTCCTAAAGAGTATATTCAAACTTAGTAAATGAGTTTCAATGTAAAGTAACCAGGGCACAAATTCCACCTTTATATATACACTGATAGTGTCTAAACTGGCAGTGACTAACCCAGGAAAGATCTTGGATTCACGGCTGATATCTTAATAATCAAATAATTCAAATAATCAGATCAGTGAAAAAGGCAAATTCTATCTATGAGTTCTTAGAAAAACAAGACCACAAGAATTGTAATATCCTTATAAAGATTTAGAATTTTGGAATACAACCTCTAATTCTGCTCATCCATCTCAAAAAGGTGACAAAGAGGTTTATTAATGCATGTGGAAAGGAGGAACATATGAGGATCATGTTTTCTCCCTCTTCTGTATCATTAGAACTTAGTGATATAAACTGACAATAAATTCAGAGGAGAAGGCATTCCTTTGTACTATAAATTACAGGATTCACTGCCAAAGGTATGGCAATAGCTGCTGGCAGAAGATAGCTTTTAAATACCTTTGTGCAAACTCAATAAGCTTAGGTCTATCAATGGGTATTAACTGGGTCCATGTAATTTTCTTTATGAATACTAGCTGGTCTGGGGGGCAAACAATAAAGGAGTGGGGCTGTTGCCTTCATGTCTGCTTATGGGTTTCCTGGACACATCTGAGCAACCATTACTGTAAGCAGAATGGTAGACTGATCAAGCAAAAGTTTTGTATTTTATGAAACTGTCCTCCTTTCAATGGTCATTATGTTTTCTCCTAGTATTTCCTTTAAGAAAATAATAATATCTGAAATTTGCATAAAATCACTTTTTTCCAAAATTCTCAAGTGTAGCCTCTTCTTTAAATCCCACTTAAGAGGTGAAAGACAAAGATTCATATGTATGTAACTGGCTGCTGCTGCGTACTTTCAACTTTGTCAAAAATGGTGAATTGCTAACTACACAAGTTGCTCTGCAGTCCACATATACAGAATTTATCAACTAGCTAATTGTTACGCCACATTGTAACTTTCGCTCTTCTGATTACTCTGAAGCTTGAATTCCAACATGTATGTTTATACACTCTAGAGCTTTACAGATAAGCACATGGTTAAGGATTTTGTGTAATTAAAAATAAGCTTCCCCTTCTTACTCTTTCAATAGTCACTGATTTATCTCCTATTGAGCAATGGAATTAATTTGGACATCTAAAGAATGAACATTAGTAAGAACAGGTATAACTACATCATTAATAGTCTTGCCATAGTTATCAATTTTAAATAGAATCCCAAACATTGCCTACCGGAAACTATGAATGCCCTGGAGTTCCTGCTGTAATACTTCCTGTGTTGTTGCAATTAAGTCTAATGCTCCAACAAATTCAGAAGTGGACAACAATAGCTGCACAGTAGGTTGAGTTTGGTGCACGGTTGCCATCAACTTTAGCTTATTATATGCTTTTATACAGTTATTTTTAGTCAGTGATAATCTTAAAATTTTAAGAGAACCTTCACACATGACTTTATCAATTTGGCCTATTTTATCTCGAAGCATTTTTACAGCTTGGGAGGTTTTCCTGAGGTAGTCTTGCAGTTCATGCTGGGAGGTCATTGCATGAAAAAATGCTTCTGAGCGGAGAGAGATCTGATGAGCAATATTTACTTCTACAATATCCAGATAGTGGCTCAGCTTAAGGGGAAAAAAGAAAGAAAACAGTATTGTTAGATTGGTCTTATCTTCCAAAGTCAGTTCCGCAATGCTAGACATTTGATAGAAATAAAATATGCATATTGCCTTTATGGATTATAACTAAACACACATAATATAATTAGCTCTATTGAAACATACTTTAACTCCACACATAACTGAATTTTAAGGAAACTAAAACAGTCTCTCCTGGCTTGAATATTGTCATTCTTCCAGGAAGAAAAGGTTTCAATAAAGACTGGAAGTACCTAATATGTTACAAAACTGTCTCCCATTAAATATTCATTTACAGTGCTACTCTGACTCATGCCAAATCATTACACAAAAACCACTTTTACAGTTTCAACTGGACCTAGTTTTTATCTGTACTTTAGAACAGTTATGCAGAACACGTACTCTTTGCACTGGTGGGCCTTTAGGTCTCCTGTTATTCTAGTATCGTCCTCCTCTCATCCCCCATCCTTTGGACTATACTAAACACATCTTGGTTGAGACAGACTGAGCTTGTTTACATGCTCAAACAGGCCACTGTATGGGGCTGCAGTGCATGCTGATGCATGTGGACAGCCCTTCTTAATATTCAACATGCAGCGACTGTTGTGCAAACCTGGGGGGCATTGGTAATGAGAAGACCAAATGACTTAGCCACTAAATTAACTGATTGTAGGGCATGCATGCATTGTTTCTTAGACCAATCTATTTCACAGGATGCTTACGAATAAAATGGGAGGGAGGACAGCGCCTTGAGGGAAAAGCGAGATAGAAATGTAATGGATTAAATGAGGAGTTTGTGCATCTGTCCTAACAGGGTGGGAAAGATCCACAGCAGGCTTGGCCATCATTTGGGTAAACACCATTCTGGAAAAAGCAGGTATTTTAATCTGAAAGAGCTCAGCCAAAACTATTTCCGGCAAATCTAGTATAATTTGTTCTCAATAAAGAATTTTTTCTGTTTCTTTAGCGAAGAATGTAACCAGTCTTGTTAGTTAATACATCAGCTTTATCTGTATATTAATATAAATACTCTGTGTGTGTGTGTGCACGCGCATGTGTTTTATCCAATGCTGTCCTTCCATTCTTGGGAGGATCTTTGAGCAGTGGCTTCTGTAAAGAGAAGGAGGATGAAATGAATTCACCCTTCTTCCTGAATCCCCTTGGGCAATCATCATACCCTTCCAGAGGAATAGCCCAAATTCTTGAAGTAGATTTGAGTCAGCAGGAAAAAGGGGTAAGTTTGAAAAATTCACCACCCATCTACATAAGTTCAAGAAAACTTCCCCAGGATCAAAGTTTCCCATGAACAGAAGGACAACATTAGCTACAATGCCATATTCACAGCTGTGAAAACCAAAGACAAAGGAGTACATGCAACATCTGGATCTTCCTTACATGATACCTTAATAAGGCAACTTGTGTTGTATTTATTGAATATTTGCAATGAAAATAAATAGACTAACCTTTTCCTGAAGCAACCTTGAGGAAGCTGCATCTCGACTTCCTTTTCCTCCAGCAGTATTAAAATGAGACCAAGGTAATACTGCATTAAATGTTAAGGGATCTTCCAAGGCAAAATCTGGTTTCATAAAAATCTGAGAAAACAAACATAAATTCTATTCAACTGCCATACTTCACAGATGTTCCCTCATTTGCCTGTGTAGTACAGATCATTTACAAGCAGGTCAGGAGGATAATGCCACGGATTTCAAACTGATTTAAAATATTTTGTGCATTTTGTCAGCTTATGATTCATGTGATTCAGAACAGTACTGGCTTAATACATGCAGTTACCTAGTGTAAAATACTGAAGTCTGCAGTATAGGTGCCAACATGTAAAGCTTTACTCTTCATGTTGGATATCTGATCAGTTACAAAGTTCAAAGGACCAGTTAAATATTAATTAAATAATGACTGAAGATTTTGAAAAGGAAATATTAGAATAAAAACAGATACTTGTAGAACAGTAGAACTGGAAGGGGCCAAGAAGGCCATCAGGTCCAACCCTCCACCATTTTACACTATCCCATTCACATGACCGTCTAGTTTCTTCTTGAATAGCTCTAGTGTGGGAGAGTCCATGACCTCTCTAGGCCTTTGTTCCTACTGAATCTCATTCTTATCAAGCTCTTTCCTGGATCTTCAGTCTGTCTTCCAGGTTGTTTGCTATTCCACCCAGTTTTGTATGGTCTGCAAATCTGATTATCATTTCTTGTATTCCTCCTCTAAATCATTAATAAAGATCTTGAAGAGCACTGAGCCTAAGACTGAACCCTGTGGCACCCCACTAGTTACCTTCTTCTACTTTGAGATGGTACCACAGATGAGCACTCTTTGCATCCGATTTAGCAGCCAATTTTGGATCCACCTAATAGCTTTTCTATCTAGTCCGTTTTTTGCTAATTTGCTCATTGGGATGTCATGGGACACTGTGGAAAGCTTTGCTAAAACTGATCATCAACATGTTTGATGGTCATACCAGTTACAAAAACAGCCTAGTTAAATGTCACTGTGAAACAATGAAATTAACTTGTAAAAACAATTGTTATAAGCTGTAATGATTTTTAAGGTAAATAAATGTGGCCAATTTAGTGAACAGTTTGGCTTTAATCCTAGTTTGCTAGAACAGCCTAAACTTAAAGAACTCTAGAAATGAAGTAAAGAAACAGAGCACACAGACTGTTCATATCAAGACAATAAACACATGGTGCCTATAGCAAGCACTATGCAAACTCTGGTGATCCTAGGCAGTGATCTTTGTCACTAATGACTGCTTGCGTTCCTACCCTCTGTTGTAGAGAGCAGTCATTCAAATACTGCAGTACATTGCTTTGCAGGTTCATTCCTATCTTGCTCATACAGACCCTAGCATAAACTACTGTAGTGCAATGCACTGATTTTCAGTAGGCCAAAGTCATCCATTCTCTATTCAGTTAATATACTTTGATATGCATCTCTGGGTTCTACTTGCTTTTGAAATCCCTGTGCATGTTATACAAAATATTTCCAAACTGTCAGAAACTGATTTTTTTCCTTATTCCTCTCCTGTTCCTCTTTCCTTGGCCCCTTTTCTACAGGTAAATGTAACAATATGTACCAAGATCAAGATGGTTTTCTAAACTTGTATCATCTTATTTCAGCATCACTTCACAGCTAATGATTTCAACAGTTACAGGTTAGTACATTAATGAAGTCAGAGTATAGTCTCATTAATGTTCTAAGCTGTAGTTATCAAAATTATGCTTTTGAGCAGCTGTCCTTTTTTCTATACCTTTTATTGATGGTTGCTGTTAAAAAGCTAACAAAAATTGTTTCGGTATGGTTTAATCCCCAAGATAAATTGCCTTTCCTGCAAGTGCAGTTCCCAATATTTGGAAGTGATGTGCATATTGGCACATGCCTAAACATATTGTCAAGTGGTGAAAATGTTTAATCAGAAAGGTATCTGAATTAACATAGCCAACAATATGATAGTGTGGTGTGATCTTTCAAACCAATTTCTGAAAAAAGCTGCTTGGATGAAGAAAGATTGGAGAATAAGCACAAGATTCTATCCAGGAAGAATTCCTGTTCTTACATTCTTTCTTGCCTTGGAGCAATTATCTAAATTCTACATAGATTGTTATATATAAGGATAAGATAAGCTATTAAAATATTTCCCTATTGGCAAGAACAGAAGAAATTAATATGCAAATAATATAGCTGACAGATTTCTCCTAATTGTTGCCAATGGAATATATCAATCATACCTTAGGTACTTGCTCCAGATCTGTCCTGGATTTATCTAAAATGAAATAAAATAAAAATGAAATGCTATGGCAAAGATTAGATTTATATTGTATACTTCCACAGTAAATTTCACCCACGCACTGATTTTCAAATTCACAGGCAGTATCCAAGTCAACAGGAATATTAATGAAAATCACATTTCAGTAGCATAAAGGACCTTTGGCACACATTCCTGCCAACAGTATTATATGGTGCAGCAGAATCCCCCTGAAGCTCTATGTTAGCTAATGCTATTGGTGCTATGCTATAAATTCTTTATGCAATATAATTTATGATCATACTCTTGTAGACTTGGAGAGTGCCACATTATATTATAAAGACAGTTACACTGCAATATTTTGTTAGGAGAGTGGACAAACTGTAGTGAAAAAAATGACCTTAACAGTTTGAGAGAGAAGACAACATCCTGGTATGGGAAAACATCCTCATTTGTAGATTGAAGAAACTGGTCAGTTGGCAGAGAGAAGAGGGCTAGGAAGTTATTCATCTCCCCCACTCTCCAAACACTGAAGCAAGCTGGAATTTGGAATTTCCATTCTGCCTTCAATTTTGATGGAAAAAAGATCTAGAGGGCAAATCTATCTATGAGCACATATGCACAAAATTAATTTGCATAGGATGATTTTCACTGGGAAATTGTCCGATGCTCTGGAGAGCTCTAAAGCACACAGAGGGCATAATCCTATGTTATCTGCCCTTGATGCATGTAATCCTCTGAACACAGAGGCTTCCCTGCATTCACTTCAGGGCATGAGGCACAGTGGTGGTCATTTCCATTACCCTGCATTCTGTATTTTGTCAAGATGATCATTTTTTGCTATCTAGATAGTACTGTGGAAAAGGAGGGAGGTGACTAGCATATTGTCTGGATATGGTGCAAGTATCCCTTTCACCTTCTCCAAGGCCAATTTGCAACAGAGATATAGTTTCTCTTTCCACACTGGCTGCAAAGGTAGGAGCTCCATCTTTGGAATCACAGCTCCAAGGTCAGAGGACCTCTGAGGAACTTGGAGCTGGGAATCCTAATAATCCTGTAACAATGCTGGGAAGTCATGGGACTGTAGCCTTGATGTGATCTGAACGTTATACAGCGGAATCCCTATATCCACTGGTTCACTTAACCATGGTTGACCTTGGTCCAAAAGAGAAGTCCTAAAGTGCCAAAAAGAAGTTGTAATGTGCTAGCTTTAAGTGAAAATTCTTGAATTAATAAGGAAAGGGAAAAATCATACACAGAGGTAAGAACAAATCTTCTATTCATGAAATTGTGAAAAATGATATAGTGTCTGCTATTATCTGTGGTTTCAGGCATCCACTGGGGAGCTTGGGTTAGGGTTAGGCTGTCAGTCATCCAACTGTTTCAAGAGGGTTCAACTCTCTTCCACTAAGGACTTTGTGGCAACTTCACTTCTCTTTTCATTTCTTATCAGGTGAAAAGATCACCTCAAAAATAAAGCACTGGAACTTCTCCACCTCACATTACTAACTTATTAACAGTAAAAACCTCAGAACACATGGCAGGATGACTTATACATTCATCTGATTTATAATATCACATCCTCTGCCTATTATGCACTTCAGATTTTGAACTATACAAATATTGAAATTTCACATAAAACACACAGAACAAAAGAACAAAACCTTTATACTATAATCTACTATCCCCTTAAAATTAAAGAGTGGTGAAACTTTAATTTAAAGCCTGTTAAAACAGGACAGTTTTCACTGTCTGTGCTACAGTACAATTCCTTTCCATGCCACTCTTGCTTTTCCCAAACCTGTGGCAAGGTCAGCCACAGCAATGTGAACATTTCAATGTGAGCACTCTCATGATTTTCACTTTTCTTAGTAGCTGCAGACTTGGGTAACTGAGTAAAACATGGGGGTCCTCAAGATCTCCATGTGAAGGGGGAAAAAAAGCTGTTATTCTCTTTTGCAAACAAAGATACCTCACAGCAGTCAAATAAATGTGAATAATAATAATAATAATAATAATAATAATATAATAATAATAATAATAATAATAATAATAATAAAAAAAACAAAAGCTCATTTGCTGGTTCTTTTGGTCCGTGTCCATGGTTGGTGCCTCCTGCACTTTAATAAGGCCCAGGTTCTTATTTCAACTAGTACAACTCTGGAAAACTGGCCAAAAATTAAGACTAAAAATTAACTAAATTACAAAAATATTAGCACACTTTTCATTATGATAAATAAATAAAAAACAAGTAAGTGGTGAACCACTGACAGTCTCTCCTATGTGCCACTTAAGGGATTCTGGGTGTGCTGCCAGAGGCTGTCACTTTGAAGACTAAAAAATAAACTCAAAAAAGGGGGAGAAAAGGTGCCATGATCACAAAAGAGCTTGCAATTTCAGAAGGGAGAGGAGGCAAGTCCCCTGGGATATTTCTTTGACGACTGAGGAGGAAGACAAGCCTTAGGGAACCCACAAACAACCCACACTGTGTAGTTTATTTGCAGGGTAGGATGCTAGGTTGTGCAAACGTACCCAAAGACTAAGAAGCAAGAAGAAAAACAGAAGCCTACCATGAGTATGTAACAGTGTCCTGTCAAAAATATCTTTAGGAGGACAAATGGCCTTGCATTTCTCATGAATCTTCTCTTTCTAAAAAGGTGACAGGTGAAGAAAATGTTGGTTATGAAATGCTAATATTTTACAATTTGTTGTTCACATTTGCTGTCCAAGGTTATACCTTTTGCAAAATTACTCTGACAGAGTGAAATACAGAATCAAACAGTAGTATGGTAATTAAAATTCACAACTGCAATCCTATTAATTATTTTTAAGAATAAGACTAAACACAACTCCATGCACCTATTTCTCTGCAAGTGTTTGCAATACATGCTTACCTAGAAGTAATGCCCATTGAACTCAATAGATTTTGCTTCCAAATATATTTACACAAAATAGGACTATCAACCTCTAAAGTTTCCATACAAACTCATTATCTATTTCAGGATAAACTAGTCTTTCCACTGTCATCATGCTACTTAAAAACAGTAATGCAGTTGCTTATTAGATGCCTTTAAAACAAACCATGTTTCTTTTTGCAGTATATAGAATCTTTCTTTTTAGAAGTATCAATGAATTGTTTGTGTGTGTGTGTGGTTGTGCATCCACACATGCTACCATATGTCCATCTAAGTAATATCACCAGTGTAAACATTTCCATTAACTGTGGGCCATTTCAGGCTTAACGTGAAATACAAGATTTACTGAATCAGCTGTTCAGAATGTTCAAAGCGACTTATATAAACAATCCAAAATATGCAACTGAACTGTTTCCTTTGCATTGCATTTCGCTCCCACAGTCCACAAGCATGACTTCTGCATCTCCTTTCCATCAGCATGCTTCTTACCACTAACTATGAAAGATGCAAAAACATGGCTGTTCACAATTTGTTCATCAATAGTTGACTCACGGGCAGATTAGCTTCACATTCCCGTTTCCCATTTCAGGCATTTAAGCAAGCCAGAACTGAAGCAATAAAACCAGTATACAAGAGAAGGGGAAAGTGTGTGTGTGTGTGCGTGTGTGTGTGTGTTGTGTGATGCTTACTCCAGTGTTTACTCTAAAATTGTTAAGCCTGAATGAGCCCCTAATATAACCAAGAAGCATACGCCAAACCTTTGATCATGCAATGAACATATGCCTATAACAAATGTTCAGAACTTTCCAGTAAGTGTCACTAGTTACTGAAAAAATGTATTTCTTCATGAGACAGAAAGTGAATTGTTTATACTGCTTGGCTGGAAGCACTGTTACTACTAATGATTTCAGAACTGAACATGTTCCAGGACTTACATACTTTGGACAACATAAAATAGGAAAGCAAGATTATTCATATGGGTTGAGTAAGATATAAGAACACATCTCAATGAACCCATATCCTAGATCAGTGATGGCGAACCTTTTAGATATTGAGTGCCCAAACTGCAACCCAAAACCCACTTATTTATCGCAAAGTGCCAACACTGCAATAAACCCTGAATACTTAGGTTTTACTTTAGAAAAAACAACTCACAGCCAGTCCAAGCAAATATATGTGTGTGTGTGTGTGTGTAGTCTTGGCAGCACACTGACTGGCCAAGTGAAAGCTCGGACGAGTTGCAGCTAATGAGATGCGACTCATGACATCATCGCCTGGCGCCGCTACTCCTTTCAAGCATGCGCATCGCCCCTATGTGCACTGTTATCCGATGCTCAGCTGATGGGGTAATGCTGGGGTGAGTTGGCTTGGGTGCTGACAGAGAGGGCTCTGTGTGCCCGCTGTGGCACGCGCGCCATAGGTTCACCACCACTGTCCTAGATCCTAGCACCTGTGATGAGTTGCAGGTTTCTGGGTCTAGTAGGAAGAATACAGTAATAAAATGCATGACTTCTTGAGTCATTTAAAATGTTTAAATTTAGAAGTTGGTTCTTTTCTACATGGTTCTGTCCTTCACAAAGAAAAGCAAACTTTAATTCAGCATTTGATAGATTATTGTACTTCAGTTTTAAGAAAATATAAGCATCAGTTTTAACACATATGACAAATCCAGATTTAATGTGATATGACAGCTGAAATTAAAGAAATCACATTTTAAATATTTATTATGTCATCACATTTTATCCACATTTTATCCAAATTATTTCACATTAATAAGACTATTCTGCTGTAAATTGGTTTGATTATGTTATGCTAACTTGGACTAAGCAATTTGCAGATAATAGATGGAGTTTTAATAACTATTAATAGTAATTAATTTGTGGCAGCAAGTGCAGATGAGACTAGTATATGTAGGTACTGCTTTTTCCATTACCTGAACAATTTCCTGTTGGTATGCTGCAAAATGTTCCTTGTTGATCTGTGGGAGGTAGAGTGAAGGCACAATTTCTATGTCCACAAAATCCTGTCCCCATGTTTTTGTAAAGAAATCAGATTCCCTTTTTGTTAATCGAGGATCATTTAGTGCTGCTGGGAGATTTACTTTGGAATGATAGATGGTCCATCTGTGCTGATCCGCAACTAAAGATGGGCTGTCACATAAACTACTACGATCACCTGCAAGAGATAAGAAAAAAGATAATTAACTTTAAAAGGCATGCATTTCTTTAGTACAGGTAATTCTTGCATTAGAATATATATTTAAACCACATATATATCTAAATAATGTATAGTATAGGAATGTGTGTTACTGGCTATGTGTCTTTCTGTATTTATACTACAAAATTGTTTCTGAAACAAGCACAATGAATGCATTCTTCACATTATTGTAGAGAAGGCCTCAGGAGGTATAGAAGGCTTCTCTAGAAATTAGTTGGTTTGGGTTAGGATTGAGGACAGGGATGAGGGAGTGGTTTGTGCTCCCAGGCTTATCGCAGAAGATCACAGAAGCTGTTACCTTGGGCAGTAACTGTGAGAACTACTGGCAGCTGGGGAGGACAGTGCCCCTTGTAGTGACTGGCTGGCATGACTCCATCACTGGGAGAATGGAGTTTAAAAAACCTGCCTTTGGAAAGTCTTTGTCTCCTATTGGCTCCTGATCTGGTGTGAGGTGTTACTCCCCGACCAACTGCCTAAGTCTTCACAGCAAGGAAATATGATTGCCTGTAACCCACCCAGGGAGCCACGTGGCTAATAGGGCAGGTTAAAAATCTACTACACATGTATGCATGTATGTATGAATAAATAAGATCTATGTTCGGTAACTTATAGAGTAGGGGTAGTTTTATTGATTTATTCCTGTGGTTCAAGAAGGAGCCTGGGTGCTCTGGATTGGGACATCAGTCATTCTTAATGCTTCGTATTATTGCCACTGTCCGCTAGTCCTTTCCCTTTTCTTTGCTATAACTTACTAGTCCCCCTCTCCCTTTCCTACTGTCTTAAAAAACTCTTTGAACATGATCCCGTGTTTGGGTGAATTGTGTTGCTTACTCTTGTGTTTTGCCGCAGGGGCTGAGCTTGGCTACTGGGCAAGTTTGGTTCAGCAATGGTGGGTCGGAAAGAGGCTTCTCTGGACTTCTCTTACCATTCTCAATAGGTATTTACATTGCTTTTAGTGCTCAGAGAAGAATATCCTGAAACACCAGTGATAGGATTGAAGTAGCACATACCAATCCGCATCTAGAGAACCATTTCAGTTATCAAAGATTTTAGGTATAGCAGAATTATCAGCCATAGTTTGAGAATTCTCACAATAGAAAATAATATGAACTCACAAATTACAATCTTTTATACATTTTAGATCTATAGTTTAATATATTTCAAGAAAATCTACAGACTACTCAAAGCCAAATTAGCAGAGCATAAGAATAAAATTAGGGATTGAGTATTAACAGTAAAATGCATTGCTTCAAAAATGGCATGATTCTGAAACTAATTTTTAACATTTTACTGTAAATGCAACTGCACTGTAATTGTTTTTAATGTCATATTCTCTCACACTTTCTAATCTCCTTCAGCACAAGCACACCAGAAAAGGAGAGAAGACCTCTTAATCCCAATACAGTGGTACCTCGGCTCATGAATGCCTCAGTTCCCGACCAAATCGGGTCGCGAACAGAAATTTCAGGAACATTTTTCCTCAGGTCGCAAACTCTGCATTGGGTAACAATCGCGATTGTGCCTGTCTTCTCTGCACAAGCACAATCGCAGTCATGCTTGTGGGGAGGGAGATGGCCATGGTCGTGCTCGGGGGGGGTGAGATGGCCACAATCATGCCCGTCTTCCCCCGAGCACACCCATGATCGTGCCGGTCTCCTGCCGAAGCGTGCTCGCAATCATGCCCGTCTTCCCTGTGATTAAAAAAAATATTTACAAAACGGATTAACTTTATTTACATTGAACCTTATGGGGAAATTTGACTTGGCTCATGACCAATTTGGGTAGTGATCAGAGTCATAGAACGTATTAAGTTCATGAGCCAAGGTACCACTGTGCTCTTGCACATAATGCTAAGCTGTATTTTAGTGACATGTCTGAATGTGGTCACTGGGACTATAATATTGTGTAAGCTGTCCTGAGCACTTGGCAGAAAAACGGGATATAAATGCTTGTAATAAATAAATAATAAATAAATTGGTATTTCTTTATCCCCCAGTGAGAGTTCACTTAAATTATTAATCAAGTTATTTACAAGTTAATCAACAATTGTGTGACTTTGTGATGCTTTGGTATGTATGTATTATATTTATATACCACATTTTCAGAGCATTCAGAAAGTACAGATATATTTATGTGCCCATGTATAAATATCATGGCACCCGCTCACATCAGGATTAGCACAATTTCTGAAGAATTAACTTTCTGCAATGCCTCAAGAGCGTGGACATGGGTAATGCTGTAACATTTCTGACACCACCAAGGTATTACAAGATGAAGGCTTTACATGATCTTCTTCCCCACGCCCTGCTACTGATAAATTAGTACTTTTGCTTTCTGAGACAAAGAACTGCCAAGGTTGCCATTTCAGCAGTGTTCTTATGTGTTCCTACGTTAATTCCTAGAGAAAATAGAAATAATCAGCTGATAGGTTTCCTTATTCACCATTAACTCTAATACAAAGAGGGAAAACCTATGTATTTTCTCTTTTCAAGAAATCATTTATAAAAATACAAGTCACCTTTGGTCCCATATAGGGCTACCAAGGTGACTTACAGTTAAAACTTTAAAGCAGCCAAACAGCAGAACTCAGAGCAGAACAAAATCTTTAAAACCAACACATTTTAAATATAAAAAGCCATCTGGAACAAAATGTAGAGCCCCATGTAAAACTGAACGAAGATAGGGCCTGTTTAACTTCCTAAGGGACAGAATTCCATATTGGGGCACTGTCGCCAAGGAATTAACAGGGCATATCTATTCTATAGTCTTTGGAGCAGCACCTCACCGCTTGGATCTTGCATCCTCCTCCCTGCCTCAACAGAAAAATCCATGTCTCTTACTTTTATCACATCAGAGGATGCAAAGGGGGAGGACTGGAAGCTTGGTGTAGGTGGTGCATGGGAGGCACTGAATTGGATGGAGCTGGTCTTCATGATTTCCCTCCTACAGTAGGAGGAAATGGATAAATAAAAAGAAACAGAAAAATACTGGCAAACACTGCTTCCTCCTCACTTTCACCCTGCTAGGTGGAGTCTAGTGGGATTCTGGAAATGATGAAACATCCAAAACTCGAAGGAAAACAGGATATGCTTTAAATTTACTATGCAGCTGCGTGCAGTTGTCATAAAAATAAGTATCCGGGGTATTTTTCCAGCAACAACCACCACCAAAAAATCAGATTGTTAATCCTTTAGATGAAGATATATCACATTTCTTTTCAGCACCCTCTGACTGAGTTCTCAGGGCTGACCCTGGGGTGCATGTGACGCTGGGGTTCCTTCTTGCTGTGAAACGTGAGGGATCACTGATATACTTCACAATATGGATAGAGACAGGCAGGTAAGAGTCTTGGTTAAAAAACATGCGGACATTTGTTTCCTGTTTTAAGAAGTTCATACTCCATTTCAGGAAGTCAGCAAAGTGGAATGAATATTGATAGGGGATCCTTCCCCAGATAAGCCTTTTCCTCTATAGCCTCTCTGCCCAACATGTTACATCCTAACATCCTGTTTACATCCTAACTTACCTTCTTATTATGCAGATATGCAGTTACCTACACTAGGTTCTACATGCCTTACCCTGCTTGGATTGTCTTGCCAACATACTAATTTGTTCACTTCTCAAGGGAATGTTGCAAATTGTGTTATCCTTTTGCAAACTATGAACTTTTATATCATCAAAGGATAAGCCACAAGGATTCAGATTCCAATTCAGAAACAACTAGAAGGTTTGGGACACAGGGTGATTTCCTTGTTTGCTTTTTTGTAACTTGTTCCCCAAACACCAAGGCCTCTATCTTCCAATCCTCAGAACCTGACTTTCAAGAACTGTCTCTTAGAATCTGATAAGTATGTTTTCTGTATGTAGTCATCTTTTCATGCCATCTTTTGACAAAAGCAGTTGCTTTTTATTCAGTCCTAGGAAGAACCCATTCCCTTAAATATTAATACCTAGAAATTCAGATTGCATTTTACGGACTTTAATAAGGCTACCTTTGAAACTAAAGTGTATTGCAGCCTTCCTCAAACTGCTGCCACACAAATGTTTTTAACTACAACATCCAGGAATCTTGGGAGTTCATCATGCTGGCTAAGACCAATAGTTGCAGTCCAAACTATCTCCCAGACTATCTGGGAGTCTGTCATAATTTATCTATGGATTTAAATAGTCCTTATCTTCCATTTCTCAAGCACCCTATGGTACTGTATCTTTCCTAATGACCACATAGTTTGGTTTATATGAACACCTTAAGCATCCTCAAATGACTGAGAGTTAAAGAAAATTTGATCTGATGAGACAGCAATCATTAACTACATTTTTTTAACATGTGGGTATTTTAAAAAAAATTAAATGGAAACCACCTGAACTTGCTAATCATAGCAGATTGGGAAAATTCTTGCTTGTTCCCAAGAATTCCTGTGGAAAGAAACTTCCTTGGTACTACACAATGTATTAAGAAACTGGTAGTGCGCCAAGTAACTAATGCTATATCTTCTACTCATCCACTTAATTCTGATATAGGCTTGCCATAACCTTGTTTGGATGCCACAACAACCCACTGTGGGTCAGATGCTTTCACTGAATATTCACAGTGAGTCTGTGGGTACTTCACTCCCTTGCTCTCCTTTGTTCTTTCAGAGTATCCCAGAGGACACCACAAGGAGGCCCAAGTCTTCCCTCTCAGACAGCTGCAAGCTGATTCTGGCCTGCCATGGCTGTCCCTTTGACAGTTCAGTTCCATTTCCCTTTAACTCTGTTTCCCTTTAAAGAAAGATTTTTCTCTTTCCTGAGACCTCAGATTAGGATGAAAGGCAAAAGCTGTTTCCCCATGGATGTAGAGAGGGGCCCCAGTTTCCTCCCTTAGAGGTGGAGAAGCAGAGGCAGGCAGATGACTTTTCAGTTGCAAAGTGAAGATGCTTGGAAAGACAGTGAGAACCTTGGGGCCAATGTGTGGGAGGGCCACTTTCTGCAAAGGGGCAGTGGGCAGCCCCTAAGGATGTTGCCCAAGCAAGGATAGAAATCCCTTCCCCTCACCACCTCATGGAAGGTGACTCAATCACCAAAAGCAAAAGCACGGGCGGGGGGGGGGGTTGCCAGAAAGAGCCTGTTTTTGTAACAAGCACTTATTTTCTGTCAAGATCATGTCATCTTTGCCAGTGGCTTAAGAGTAGACCTCTCCAGCAACTGGCAAGGATGCTCCTACATCCTTGCCAAAGTAATGGATGCTTCCTCAACAAAGAGGAGTAGATCCCTGCCATTCTTGCTAGCAGCTTCATAGGGTTTCCACTGGAGTGCCCAACAAAGATGTCCCTTCTCCTTGCCAAGGCAGCACTTTCTGCCTCAGCAAGGAGGAGCAGATCGCTCCTATCTTTGTCAGCTGCTGCAAAGGAGACCTCTCAAACAACCGGCAAGACTGTTCAGGAATAATTTTCCTTTTTGTCCAGATCCTCTGTTGGCTTGGGGACAGGTCAAACTGCTTCCACCTTCCTAATGACATTGGTTGACAAGTGCACTGAGGAGAGCAGACAAACTCTGCTAGCTGCTCTGAAGTGCACATTGGGTACTTTGGTGACAGCTGATAATGACAGTCATGAGACAGGTGCTTGGCAAGAGCAGCAAGAGAATTTTTATTACTTTCACTAAGTAGTCCCCCGTTTCAGTGTCTCAAACATGGTGGGTTGTGTTGTCCTTGTTCCGATGACAAGAAAACCCACAATCGGTGACCACAGCCCTACAGCAACCCCCAGGCAATGCAGCATAGCTTTTTTGAAAAAACAAGTCACCATGGATGAAGTACAGCTTGTTCATACGACATGATGCCCACAAACGATGGTGGGTTGTCATGTCATCTGAGCCTAGCTGAAGTGTTAGTGCTGCTCTGAATACTGGTTCCAAGTTTTCTGTTACTGGTGTTACCTGTGGGTTCCTTGGGACATACATCCGGCAGCGACTGCACTGGTCGAAAGCGTTTGGCAGAATCCATTTCCTTTTTAAAGAACGCATCATTGCTCTTTGACTGAGGCACTGGTGAAGACCGGTGGCTTGAGGCCATTGCATAAAGTCACCACTGGATAAGTACTGAATTAAAGCAAACAAAATATATTTGTGCACATTGGTTTGGATGTTGTGAAAGAATTATTAATTTATAGAACAATGAGTTACATAAACAGAAAGTTATTACAGCAATAATAAATGAAATTAACTACAATAGCAGCAATGGGAAAAGAAGATTAAATTGTTTTATCTCACCCTCCCAACACCCTAGACAAAAAATTAGCCCAAAACTTAAAGTACTGCAGTGCCTGAATGGTTGAAAACCACAGTGCCCCATGTTATGATAGGGCTGGACTGGCCCATCTGGGTCCAAGCGAAAGAAATTTCCCTCCCCTTTACAATTAGCTGCAAATCTTTGCTAAAGCTAAAGGTCAGGTCCTCTGGATACTGGCACTGCAATGCTGAGATCATTGTAAGGCCAAATGCCTCCACTTAGCAAACCTATTGATTAGCAAATTGCCCATATTCCTTCTAGAGTTCATCTCAGAGCTGAAGATGAGCCATTGCCATGCAATCAGCAAACAAGAAACAAGAGATTTTTCTGGAATCTATACCTAGGCAAGTGGGTAGGAACCAAAGCAGCTATAATTCAAGAGGGCACTATAGTATAAGCTGCAATTTCACACTAGCTTTCCTAGGGGTAGGTCCCACTGGACTCAGTGAAACTTATTTCAGAATAGACTGCACTACTGTATAGGACTGAACTGTATCTCAGAAAGAATTCTGAATGGTAGCCCAACTTGTTCCCTTTTATCCACATGACTGCACACGGCTGTTGTAAGGATAGCAGTGGGGAGGCAAAAAACCCTGCAAGCCACTGTAGGTTGCTTGCAAGAGGAAAGAGGTGAGATGTAAATTTAAAATTTAAAAATATGCTGGACTATTTTCTATTGTCAATAATTTAAAGTGACTAAATTAGCTTGTATCTATCTGTACAGGAAGAAAAGAAATCCTTATTGTGCACCTAGATATTTTTTCTTACTATGGTTCCTCTGCCCCAGTTCACTATATACAACCAAGATCTATCTTCAAATGTCAAATGCTGATTGTTCAAACATAAACTGATTTATGTAAACAGAATTAATCAGCAGCCAACATGCTGGAGGACAGACACGTTGGAAGAACACGTTGTATCAGGTAGTCTGGACAAAGTACAATGCATTATACTAAAACCTGTTGCTCCTTCTCCTCATGTACAGATGAACTTCATCTATTCCATGGCAAAGGTACATTGTATTGAATGCCTAATACCAGCACCAAAATGGGTAAGTAAATGTCAATCCAGCAAAGTATTTGTGCAGCATCAAGTTGGCTTCAGCTAGAAACAAAGGCCTCTGAAGTACATTTAATCTACTCATTTGGCCCTAGCCTGATATATTCCCTTGTATCACAATGTTAAACATTCTAAATTAGTGAAGTTCAGAGGATGCTGTAGCTAATTGATTTCTCAAACATTCAAAGATGCAAAGGTTGTGCAATTCAATTCTCGTCATATAAGCAGAGGACCCTGCTGATTCCCTCAGCTAGCAACCTAAATCACAGAATGGGAAAACTGAAATGCATGAAAGATGACAGAACCTTTCAAAGAGGAATCCTATAAGGAAGAAACTAAGATATTAGAAAAGTGAAACGCTGCTCAGAACTGTTTCAAGCTGCAGAAACTGAATCAGTCTAAATCCTAACAAGAACTATAAAAGATCATAAAGTATAAGGACATCTCACTGGAGTGTTCAAGATCAATTACCACGTACAGCTGTGAATACAGGACAGTGAAGAAAGCTAACAGGAAAATGAAACATGGTGTTAGAGGAGAGCTAATACTCTGGACTGAGAGAAAGATGAACAAGTGGGTCCTAGAACAAATCAAGACAGAACTTGTACTGGAAACAAAAATGATGAAACTGAAGCTTTCATACTTTGGGCACATCATGAAAAGGGAAACAGTAATTTATCTTGGAAGGGGGTGGCGGTGGGGGTTAAGGTTAGGGTTAGGCGGCTTGTTGGAGAATGTTCCTCACACTTTTTTCCTGAGATCCATGCCAAAGATGAAACTGGCAAAGATGTACGACTTGTACCAATCATATCCTGTATTGATCCAGTAGTAATAGTAGACAATGAACATCCTGATAGGAGTAGAATATTTTATTTCTTTCTAACAGAATTCTTATCCACATTTTTCATGTATTTTAAAAAAGTTTTGTTTAATATTTTTAGAAAATAATCAACTTCCCTAATAAATAATGATGCAAAATACAGAGATATTAATAAGCACAAAATGATGAAATAAAGACTGATACCACAAGGTAGAAGTTTCAAAGGATTAAAAAATGCTTAAAACTACTGAGGAATAATTGGCTGAAAAATAGTTATCAGCAGTTTTCATTATGTTTCATTTAAAAAGCAGGTTAGGATGAGGACTATGCCAAATGCATATTATCTATAGCACACATGAGGATGCCCAGCCCAAGAGTGGGAAAGGATGTCTTAATATGTGTTGAATTAAGTGCTTTCACTGGGTTATGAACAGGGTTTATGGTTATAACTAAAAAGAGAGGTAACCATCCTTTTGATTGCAATCATAGATAATAGGCAGGATCGCATCACCTGTGCACCAATTACTCTCCCAACTGATTCCTGCAAGTCATCCTATTTGTTTTCTGTTGTTGTTGCTAGTCCGGAAGTCATATCCGACCCATCACAACCCCATGGACAACTTTCCTCCAGGCCTTCCTGTCCTCCACCATCCCCAGGAGTCCACTTCAGCTCATGCCGACTGCTTCAGTGACTCCATCTAGCCACCTCATTCTCTTCCGTCCCCTTCTTCTTTTGCCGTCACTTGTTCCCAGCATTAGGCTCTTCTCCAGTGAGTCCTTCCTTTTCATTAGGTGGGCAAACTATTTGAATTTCTTCATCAGTATCTGGCCTTCTAAAGAGCAGTCAGGGTTGATCTTCTCTAGGGACTCGCTGGAGTCTTCTGCAGCACCACAATTCAAAGACCTCAATTCTTTGGCGCTCAGCCTCCCTCATGGTCCAACTTTCACAGCCATACATTGCAACTGGGAAAACCATAGCCTTGACTATACGCACTTTTGTCGGCAGGGTGATGTCTCTGCTTTTTAGTATGCTGTCTACATTTGCCAGAGCTTTCCTCCCAAGGTGCGTCTTTTAATTTCTTGGCTGCAGTCCCCATCTGCAATGATCTTGGAGCCCAGGAAAATAAAATCTGTCTCTACCACCATTTCTTCCCCATCTATTTGCCAGGAAGTGAGAGGACCAGATGCCATGATCTTAGTTTTCTTAATGTTGAGTTTCAAGCCAGCTTTTGTGCTGTCCTCCTTCACCTAGCTTGTAGGATTTTGAGCATAACATTGTGAACATGTGAAATGAGTGTTTTCTAATATTCTACAAAAACTTGCTAGTTTCAGAATGAAACACTTTACTTCTGTCCTTTAGTTTGGACACAATGTGTTAATTTAGCAAGAACAGCATCCTGAAATACCCCATTCTCCTCCTGCAATATTTAGCAAGGAAGGCTCCAGCTGCATTAGTCATACAGGGTAACAGCTACAACAGGCCACTGGGAAATTTCATATACAAAGGTCAATAAAATATTATAGGACCTAGCAGCACCATTATATTCATATTTCCTTAGAGGTATGTTCCATTGATTTTTATGGGACCTACTCACAAGCAAGTGAGTACAGGATGGCAGTCCATAAACAATACTCAAAATTATATGAAAAATATCAAGTCACTACTTAAGTAACAAAAAGTAATCAGGTCCTTCTTGCATTTCCAATACTGGCTGTGAGTACCAGTAATTTTATATATTTCATTTGTAGCAATATGTCACCTTGCCAATCCAGGTATTGATTTCTTTAGATTAGAGAGTTTATTTTCCTATTTCCAAATAAATTTCCAGATATCAATGTTCTTATTTTGTCCCACAATCTGAGCCTACTAAAGGTTGTATTTGTGGGAAAAAGATGGAGTGCGGGGGAAGGAGAATGATGTAAGCTGCTTTGAGTTATTTAAAAAAGAAAAAAAGGCAGGATATATAGAACCTAGCAACAATTATCCACACCCTGGTAACACACTCTACATGGGGCTGCCCTTGAAAACAGTCTGGAAACTTGAACTGATACAGAATGGGAAGCTCACCTATTCACAAAGACTGGGGGGCAAGATCACAGAACCCTTGTCCTTTATCATCTCCACTGATTACTGACTGAAGTCCAGGCCTGCTTTAAGGGGCTTAACATTGATGTATAAAGCCCTACATGGTTTAGGACCTGGATATCTGAAATGTCTCCTTCCATAAATCCCAACCCAGACCTTAATATCCTCCACTGAAAAAAATGTAAGGAAGGTGGCCACTAGGGGACGGGCTTTTCAGTTGTGGCACCCCAATGCCTGCCATTGAATCTTTATGCTTTTTGGAATCAGGCCAAGCCTGTTCATTTGTCCAGTGTTTTAATTCTTAAATGAGAAAAAAGCCATTTTATACTGCATTTTATACTGTTGTTGGATCACTAGGGATTGTTTTCTATTTACCTATTTATGTATCTTAATTGGCTTGGGACTGGTGTGTTATGGTCAATATTAGACCTATGTATATTATGCTGTATTGGGTCTTTTAAAATTTATTGTAAACCATTTGGAGAGCCATTTGGCTAATGCAGACAATATATAAAAGCTTTATTAAATAAAATTTATAAAGAAAAATAAGAATTCTGACTTATTCCATCTCAGTAATTCCTGTAGAATTTTATTAAATACTGTGATACAATATGTTGACTATTGGCTATTATTATAGCCTCAAGCTTTGTTAAATGTTGCAATTAAAATATCCATCCATTATAGGTTATGATTGCCCAGTTCAATTACCCTTGATGTCAAGAACAGAGTAAAAGCTACGATGCATAATTATTGATGCTTGTGTTCACATCGTTCACTTAAGAAAAGCCTGCTCCTAATATCAGTTATAAAAATCTACAAATAGTGAGATGAACACTACACTCTTCACATATGCTACGAATTATAAATGTATATTACATCACTAAGATTGCATACCTTAATGACAGAACTCCATGAATCTCCCAATAAGGCAGACCTCATATCTCTTCCAGTTCCATTAATTAAAAATATAGCAGAACTGCACCATACATGACTGTTTCCAAGTTCTAAACAAAAGATCACAGCATAAAAGATATTTAGTAAGGGTAAAACAAAGTATCTAAAGGGGAATAAGTCATTTAAAAAATATATAACAGCAACAATACCGCCAACTATACTGATAGGGACACATTCAGTACAATTCCACTTTTTTAACCACAAGTAACACCCCCCCTTTATAAATATGAATGTGGTGCAATTTGTCTCACTTTCATTTCCAGGAGACAGGATAGTTATATCAGTATCTGTATATGCATGAAACTGCTCCCATGATTTTCTTGTCATCTCACATTTTGTAGCAGAAATATGTGCACCCTGCAACATAACTTGTACCTAAAGATCAAAGAAATAATAATTCATGAAGTTAACATGCTTCTGTCTTAGATATAGGGGCACCAAGCTGGGAAATGCTGCCCTAAGTTGATCTGGTTATGTGTCAAATATTAACACCTGCTTTTTAAGCAAAAATTCTAGATGGACATATTGGTGCCTATGATGGGGCTAAGCACCCACTGGTCCTGTCCAGGATGAAGCTTACAGCTGTCCTTTTATATTAGAACAGGGTTTATGCTAGCAGATTCTTCCAGTGTGGGGGATAGAGGATAAGAATGAGAGCATATCTACATTGGTTAACATGTCTCCAGCAGAATGAGCAATTTCTTCCCTGGGGCCTGACAGAAGGAAGAATGTGGGAGACAAAATAAGGGAGGGTTGTTTGCAAACAGTGCTGCATTAGCTTCCAGTTAAAGAGACAGTCAACTTGCCCCCACAGCAGCAAGTAGAAAGGCTATCCCACGTAACACACAAGGAGGAGATGAAGTCGCTGGCGGGTGGGAGATCTTCTGTAAAAGGGTACGGAAAGCTTTGAAGACAGCTTCTCGTGGACACGGGAAGGAAGGAGGCAAAAGAAAAGAGTGTATAGAGCAGGCAGCCTGAAGAGGATGGGAATGAAAGTCGAGCATATTCCCTGCACACCGCACCAAGGAAGTGCAGGGCAAGCGGTGTGCACGGAATATCAACCTGAGCGTGCAAGAGGCAGAGGGTGTACTATACGAAGCCGGCCTACCTCAGGTAGGCTGGGCTGCTCCTTACAAGCTGTGGAGGGGAAGGATTCTGTGAGAGGGACGAGCTCTCGCCGCCGTATCTTACTCGGGGAATGAAATCCCGTATGGGGTAAGGCAGCAGTGCTGGCGGAGCTCGCTGCCCCCTCTCGCCCTTCCTGGCCTGGATTTCATATCGGGGCAGGCGAGCTATCCGGCAGCACCAGCGGAATACCTGCAGCAGCAGTAGAAGCAGGAAGGGCCGTGGAAAACGCCAAGGCGTCGTCGCGGCCTAGTGCATCTCCCGGCGCCTCCAAAGCGACACGTCGCTATCATGGATGACTCCTTCTCCCGGCTCGGCCCAAGGAAGCTCCTCAACCGGCGGCGGCAGAGCGGCGAGCGGACCGGCCACTGGCAAGCACCGCCTCTGCCGCAGCCCTGCCTGGGAGAAAGAGGAGGAGCCGCTGCCGCTCTGCGCTGGAGTCGAGGCGTTGCAGGCCGCCGCGCCTCCCTCTCCCAAGAGGAGGTTCAGGTGGGGAGGCCGCGGAGGAGGGGACGCGGATCGGACAGCGAAGAGCTGGGCTTTGCTCGCTTGAAGAGCTCTGCTGTTGGCCCAATGGAGTGGAGAAAACTACGGAGAAGCACGCGGGCCCGATCCGAGACGTTTGGCCGCTTAAGGCGGAACGCCAAGCCCCTCGCCGCTCTTGGTGTGCTCCCTTAATCTCCCTCTCGCACGCAACGCCCGAGGAAAAAGAAAAACAAAACCCCCGCTAGTGGCGGCATTCTTCCATGTCAGAAAAACTCAGCGATGATAAATGGTGAAGCTGCATTTTCATGATAACTCCGAAGCAGCTGTCTGAGGAAGTCACCTCATGACAGGCCTGGCCTTGCGAGATTTTAATACTTTTATATAATTCGTGTGTATCCCAGCCTGGCATCTAAAAGATCATCAAGGCAGCTCATAGTTCATAAGCACACATTAGAAACAAATGCAAACATAGAACACAGCTAAGAGGACAGAAACAACAAAAATACAATAAAGCTATAAAATTATCACAGAGGTTTTCCAGATGCTGCTGGAAGAGCTGTGCTTTTGCAAGCATGGTGAAAGGTCAACAAGGAGGGGGACAGGCTAGCTTCCTTTGGGAAAGCTCTGCATAGTTGGTACCAAGAAGGCTCCCTCCCACCCACAGAGTAAAGGGAGGAAGATAGACATGTGCATGGAAAATATATGCATGGGTGGTGGAGGGGGAAGTAAACTGGCACAAGAGCAAAGCAATAAGAGGTTCTGCTTGCTGCAGGCTCTTAAGTAAAAAATAAGTAAGAAAAATGGACTGACAATATATTTAGTGCTGAACATTTTGAGTTCTGCTGTTATCAGCATTTGTGATGTTAAAAGGCTATCAAGAGTGGCAGTTTGGAATGCTGGGAGAGGAAAATTCCCAAGAAGAAATAATAGGTATGAGTGCAATCAGACTTATGAATTGATCATCCTCCAGGTTAAGACAACGTGTTCCAGTAATATGTTCCAGAAGTTTCACTTTCTATCAAGCTTGGCAATGTCCTTTACTTGTTGAATTGGAAACATCCATGGTTACAATGTCTTACAATGGGCTGCTCTAGTTTTTTAGTATGGCTTGCAGGTTCATATTCAGTTCAGATATGGTTTTTCCTATATAGTGCATGCAACTTTTTTAAGCATTCAGATAAGTAAATTGTATTTGAAGTGCATGTTACTGACTGTGTCATGAATAAAGCTTTGTTGTAACTATATTCTTAAATGATTTATTGATAGTAGGAGCAGGTAATGCATTAGGTTGATTTGCATTTGTGTTATTTTGGGTAGTAAATACCTTGTTTAACTGTAGTTTCCTTGACCTTTCTAATGCATAAATATACTCAAACTTAATGGCTGCAAAGGAAATTTTGCCTATTTAAGGACAGGGAAGGAAATGGAGGGGAAATTTGTGCACCTGCAGTAACCACAGCAGTAAGTGCTCCAAAGAGGTACAATGAAAATGTGTGGGGGTGGGGGGCATTCAATATCTTTTTCCTTTCTGGAACAGTGGGATACTCAGTGAAGCTTTGAGATGGTGGAGAACATTGAGAAGTGTCTGTTTAAGGCTTAAAATTCAGAGTATTACATTGCTAGAAGGGATATATTGTATTTCCCCCGCCCACTTTTGGTGCATTCGCTTCTGCTGCTTCATTCCCCTTTGCAATCAACAACTTGGTCACTGGCCCCTGGCAACTGTATGTAATTTAGCCTATATTTCACCTCACCTTGTCATTTGCCATGTGTTTTACCTACTCCAATTCACTGCTACCTTTGGTAGCCAAAATAGACAAACAATGACTAGACAAAGCTACACATATCAGACAAGCATAAAAACATACTTAAGACCAGGAAAATGTAATTAAAATAATGGACACAACTGCACAATTTTAGAAGCCAAGATAATTAAAAATGGCAATGTAACCCCCAATTGTACTTTCTGAGGCTCCAGAGCAAAGATGCCACTGTGGTAGTGAACAAAACAAAAGGATTGCAAGCAAAGTGCATAGGGTGAGAAAAATTAAGGACTTTGGGACACATATCTCTGGTTCTCATTTAGTTCTGTAGGAAGGATGGGGTCCTACAGAACTACAATCACCAAATCTCACAAACACATCCAGCCAAACCACACTTCACCATCTTTGTGGCTTTTTCTTTAGATTCTTTGGCCAGTGGCAGCTGAATAAGTTTCAGGTGAAATGTTTATCAAATTGCCATTCTCCACTGTATAAAATGCTGGGCCAAGAGCTGCACATGTTCTCTAGTAGCACAGAGTTTTACACAGAGTTGAAAGTGTGAAAGCCCTTTTAATAAAATCTAACCACCCTGTGTAGTTTATTTTAAACAGCTTTTTAAACAGTTGAAACTACATTCAAATAATGGGTTGCTTTAGTTATCGCAGATAATTTTGAATCTATTGCTTAAATGATGATTCAGTGAGACCATGTGTAAATAAATGACCGTATATTTTAAAAGATATGGAAACACAGGCAAGTCACCAGGTTACAAATGAGTTTTGTTCCTGAGAAAACAGAAATTCATCTTGAAGTTGAGTCTGTATCTAAGTCGGATCACATATAGTTGGCCTTCCACATTTGTGGGAGTTAGGAACACAGGACCACCCTGAAAGTAGAAAAACTGCAAATATTTCTAAGCCCCCCCCCCCATCAGTGCCTCCTCTTTGCAGCAAGGAAATGCTGGAGAGATTTTCCTTTCCAGATGGGTGGGATAGGAAGGCATAGTTTGGTGGCCTTCCTCTCTCCTCTTTTGCTTCCTCTCTCTCTATGGTAATTATGGTTTTCTGTGATAATTTTTTAAAAATTATACACTTTATAGCAGTTCATTTGTAAGTACAGGTTGTTTGTAATTTGGATGTTCATAATTTGGAGATTGACTGTATAGGAATACATATACTCCTGTTAGCTTTAGGACCAGGCCATTGCATAGGCTGAGTAGTATTGCAAGCTTGGCTTCACTCTCCACTATTGTGAAATATTGGCTAATGTGATTAATTGCTACTGAATGGGCTTAGGCTGCCAACATTACAGTTATGTTCTCATTTACCATCTGGCATGCCACAAACAAATTTCTTGATTAAGCAGATGGAAGCAAATAAACTCATCAAAGGCTAGTCAATAATGACCTGATTCAAGTGACGTAAAAGTACTAAGAATATTGGCTTGCAAAACTGGACAGTTGGTATCTATATATCCTTCCCCCATGTGAAGTCTGAATCAGATTGCCTTGTTTTGTTGTTTCAAAGTCACGTCTGTCAGCGGGCTAATTGCTATAAATATAATATAATGAAATTACCAGTTAATTAAAGCTGCTGTGCAGCATATATGAACTGCTAAATTGTAGTGAAATAAATTAGACTTATTCCCAGGTAAATTTGCTTGTGGATTCTGATTTAAGGAACTACAGGAGGATTATCCTAGCGTAATAATGGTTGTTTAAAATTTAAAGTGTCCTTAATGTCAGTGATTTTCCCAAGGTGACACTGTGATTTTCATTATGATTTGAATTCAAGGCCTCCAGTGCTCTGTTCTGCATGTTTCTAGGAAAAAAGCTTGAAAGCTATTTTCTAGGAAATTGCTTGAAAAATAGCAATTTCTGTCATTTTCAGCTTGTATTTTTAAAAGTGAAAAATTTGTTTGTTTACTTGCAGAGACATAAGAAAAGGCATAAAGGCACTATTTCACTCAATTGTTCAGGAAGGAAAAGCATTCATGTTCTCCGGCATTTTGGCCAATGATTGGAAAGAGACAGATATGACTGACAAGCAAGGAGAGGAATAGTGGCCCCAGTAATTTCCAGCCATTTCACGTACTGACCAATGAAAGGCATAATATTTGTTCATCTCTCACTTGTCCTTTAGAGCATTCAATTTTCTCCAACTGATCATGAGTACTGTATATTATTTTCCCGTGGAAGTGGGTGGATCCTAGTATTCTAGTTTGAGAACAAATGGCTGGGTACATGGCATCTAGTTTTCTGACTTGAGAATGATGATGAGCAATTTGCAGTTATTTTCCTGGCTTGAGAACAAATTGGTAGGCAATTGTAACATTCAGATAACAACAAAACAATCTTGTTAAATATATCAGTTAACTTTTATTACGTTTATTCCATAGTTCCTTATTGGAAGCATTTACTTGTCATGCCAGGCCTCCCTAGAAATGAACAATAGTGGGTTGCTTGTTGGTCAAACAGACAATTGGGTGCACAGTTGGCTCTCATCCCCCTCTCTCCCCGCTTTACCTCACAGCTATCCCAAGGGACACTATGGCAGCACTGACTTATCTCCCCACTACCTTCTGTGTTCACAGACTCTTTTCAGTTCAGTGCAGCTTTTTTGCATTCACCCCACCCAACCTCAAGATCACAAAAGCTAATAGATATATACAGTAAATACCACAGGAATATACTGATCAAAGCCCTGTGGAAATGCTCAGAGAATTTTTCTAAATTACCAGTCTGGAAATCACAACTTTGTAATCTGATGTATATTTGCTTTCAAGATGGGTTCATTACATTCAAAAGATATTCTGCTTATGTGCTGAACTGTATCTCTATCAGAGGAGAACTGAATGGCTTCTATGCCTTTGGTAGCTCACCATTTTAAAAATGTTTGCATGTTTGTCTCTTGGCTTTGATTTAGGGATTATTGGTGGCTTTAGACATACACTGAGTGGTTAAATATCAAATCTTGGATGAACAATGAATTTTAAACAGATCTAGAATTATTAATTTATACAAATATATTTGATTTTAAATATATTATTTATATCCCTGGTCACTTGTTTGTTTAATGCAGTTGTGTAATACATTAGGCATAATGATTGCTGATACCTCTGCAGAGAATGGTTTCAGGGTGGTTTTATTTTACACAAACTGGGGCTAAACTTCATTTGAACCTGACTCCACAGTGGGGCCTAGAAACCTCAAGGCAGATGCTGCCTAGGCATTTCTAAGCAGGAAGACAGGCTCCTGTTAACACATGCTGCATCTTCAAATACACATCCACTGTGCTGTAAAATTAAATCAGACTAAAGGCAATAGCATTAGTTTTACAGGTTAATTCTCTGTAAAAAGAAGAGAAACTTCTGGCCATTGAACCAAATGGTTAATGAGAAGCTG